GGTCTTATGCATTCTGTCACAGCAACAGAAAATAGACTAAGACAAATATTCTCAGAGTGACCGGCAGCTGGGTACAGGGCCTGCACTTGTCTGGGGACAGGCGAAGAGTGCTGGTGAGGAAGTGGTGGGTGTAGAAGGCCGAGACTGCTGAAGGGAAGGTGGAGTGGAGCACTATGTGGGGACCGTCTGGAGGGGCTCCAGATGAGCCCATGATGCTACTGGAGGAACTTCCCCAGGAGTGACCACAGATGTTCAAATAAAAATCTGCACCCCATCTTCTAAGAACCCCTGGGCAGAAACCACCCAGATGCCCGTCAATGAGTGGAAAGTGCAACGTCCTCACCCAACTGTGAGAGGTGGTGACCTGGTGGCTGCAGAAGGGCTACAGTGGAAAGCCGTACAGGGCCCAGAGCCAGAGTCAGCACCAGTGGGGTGGCTGCGGCTGCAGTGACGTGAGGCCTCTGGTGCAGACTGGCCAGGAAGGGCTTGGAGGAGGGAGGCCTGCCTGGCAGGGAGCACCTGGGATGAGGGYAGTCACCAAGGGGAGCCCTGTCCAGCAAGCCTGGGGTGGTGTGAGCAGACACCAGGGAGCACCAAGGACCCTGGGTTCCTAGCAGTGAGMGAAATGAAGAAAACTTGTTCCCACAGAGGCTGCTCCTCAGCAGCAGGGCGGAGCTGGGAATCCAGCCCTGTCCCTCAGGTGGACGAGCCCAGGCAGAGCCGTGCAGGACACAGCCGGAGAGCAAAGACATCCGCCACATCTCACTACCACCCAGAGAAAGGGCGGGACCCACCGCCACTCCCTGGGTGTTGGGTRGGTAGCGTGATGCCCGCTCAGAGCCCCACTCCTTGTCAGGAAGACGACGGACGTGGCGCTGCCTGTGCCCGCACCCYGGGCTACACTGGGGCACCAGAAAGATGCTATAAAGGACATTCTCAGGCAGCTGGGACAGGCCTTCTGTTGGGCATTCCTGGCTTGACAGGGGTTCTGGTGCTCTTGGGAGAGACCACAGAAGCCTTCAGGGTGAGGGGACAGYGCTCACGTGGGCGCTCCCGCACCCGGCGGCCACAGGAGGCCTGCTGGGAGCGGCCTGCAGGGTTTCTAGCCACGGCAGGCAGTCTCGGGAGGAGCCAGCACAGCTGCTGCAGAGAGGCTCCCGAGGGACGGCGGGGGCCTCGCATGCAGGGTGCACTGGGCCCCGGCAGGCACGGGTGAGAGGCAGAGGTGGGCAGCGCTTGGAGTCAGGGAAGCCCAAGGACAGAAGAGTGTGGGTGCGGGCGCTGCACACGCCTGAGGGCGACTGACATGCCAGCCATGTGGGCACCGCACTGGGGACTGATGGAGAAAATAGATGACCTCAAGGGCCACTGACAAGAGAAGACTGAGCAGAGTCCACTCAGCCGAGTCTGGGAGTGAGGTGCACACGTCCCAGGAGAGGCTGTGGGCCCAGCTCTGCCCCGTCTGGCTTCGCCAGCCCCCAGCTGGGAGGCCCCACTCATCCTTCACCACAGTCGTGGGCCCTGTCTAGGAAGCCTCCTGGCTCACTGGAGCCATCTCCCCCACCACTCGGGACTTCACGGCCAGGGTCTCCTCCACAGGACGGGGACTCTGCCTCCCACCTGCACGTCAAGGCCGAAGGCTTCCACATTCCCCCACAGACACTGCAGACGAGTGGACCAGCAGCCACTCAGGGAGAAGCGCTCTGAGGCAGCTGGACCCACTCCAAGCCCCRCTCTTCAGAGACCACACCCCGCTCCTGGGCAGCGTGTCTGAGCACGGTGGGTCTGACGTGAGGGCCGTGCTTACCTCCGGAGGCAGGTGCACTTCCATGGGTGTGTAGGTGGGCCAGTAGCCCATGGTGAGGATGTTCACGGTAAGGTCGATAGGGCCTGGGGCACTCTGGTTCTGCATGTGCTGAAAACACAGGGTCCAAAACAGTGAGCTTAGAAGGTCATCAGAGACACCTGGTGGACCGKTGAGGAAATGGGTGGTTTTCAAGATAAAGTGTCAGCAAGCGTGCCAGTGCCCAAAACAGAGACCGCTCAGGCCAAMGCCAGGTCCCGGCAACACTAGAATCGCACTTCTTCTGGCCATGGCCCAGGGGACACATTGCTAGACCCAGTCAACCAGTGTGCCACCTGCAGCCTCTCCGCTCACCTGCTTGAAGTGAACCATGATGTCCTTGGAGAGCTCCATGTCCTTGAACATCCCCTCCAGCTTGCTGGTGAATGCAGCCCCGCACTCTGCGACACAGGAGAGACCAAGCAGTGCGTCCCAGCAGAGACCCAGGAGCCTGCCCCGCTGCCCCAGGGCCAGGAGCCCCCCTCTGCCCCCAAGGCTCACCATGCTTGAGCTTGGACAGCATCGACTTTTCAGCATCAACCGAGGCACTTTTTCCAACGAGGAGTCTCTTTGCCAAATCTTTCTTATAAAATGCTTCAAAGACATCTTTGCCTGTGTGAAAGCAGGGAGAGCACACAGAACGTCAGGGCTGAGAGGAYGCACCGTGGCCACAGAGGCCAGTGCTGTCCTGTCCCAGGGCCTCTGTCCAGAAGACCCCMCTGGCTAGCCTGGGGCCCCCAGCACCCCGAGCTCACCATGGATGAACCTGAAGAGGATCATGATCTTGTCCAGAATCCTCTCCAGCTCCTCGTCTGTGGCCTCCTTGTTGCCCGCCCGCAGCTTTGAATCCACGTGCTTGGCTGTGCGAGCAAGAGTGAGCTGGGACAGCGTGTGGCTGTGGCTCAGTGGCAGAGTGCTTGCCTCCCACGCCCAGGCCCTGTGTCTCACACAGAAGGGACAGGGAGAGAGGGAGAAGGGGCGGCGGGCCTGCCTCTCTGCCTCAGGCGATCCCTGAGCAGCACCTCTCCACAACGACACCCAGGCACTCTAGGGTAAGTATCTGCAATCTTCAGTTCCGCAAAAGCAAACAGCCCCAGAGCCTGAACACAGTCACAAAGGGGCTTGAACGCTCTCTTCTAACCCAATCAAGAAGGAAACTGACTCCAGTTTAACCCTTGGGTTCCCGACTTGCTACTGCACAGAGGCTGGAAAGTCCAACTTGAAGAGCCAAGAAATAAGCCCAGAGGTGACCTTCTCACAGAAGAATTCTYAGGGCTTCAAGAGGCTAAATCCAAGTGTCCGTATGGGCGCATGAGGACTCCTCAGCGTGGGGCACTCTGAGTGTGCAGACAGGCACACAACCATCTGGTGAACACTGCTCCGCTTGACACCAAGAGTCAACAGACTCCGAACCCCTGTGTTACAGGACCCCTTGCCCTTTACTACTGCAAATTTAAAACACTTTTACTGGCTAATAAAGTTTGAGTTCTAAAATATTATTTTGATACTGTGATGAAGTAATTATACGAAGGTGATTATTCAAACAGCCACATGCTGTCCCCTCTGAAGTCTCCCCAATCCCATCCTGTTCCATGCCGAGTTGTGAAGGTAAAGGGCTAGGAAAGACTGAGTCACACACGCAGKCCAGGCACCCGCCCACCCTTCCAGGAGCACACTGGCGCCCAGCCCGGCAGTACAGACCTGTCACCCTCGTGGAACGGCACACACGTAGGTGCAGCCTCTATATGCTGTGTACCCACAGGGCGTGACGAGCCCCCAGTAAGGAGCCCAACCTTTGGGAACCTGGTCTGCTGGGCTGCCTTCTCACGCGTACCGATGAGCTCGGCGGGCTTGTTGGGCCTCCGGTTGATGAAGGCCTCGAAGGACTCCTTCATCAGGTTGACGAAGCGCTCATTCCTTTGGAAGCACACCTCCACTACGTGGTCCACCCTGTCCTTGAACTCCAGCAGGTCCTGCACCATGTCCTTGTCCTTCTCAGGGTTGATGACAATTGCTGTCCCAAAAGTCTGCAAAAATAACGAGGGGCCAGGCCAGAGTCAGGCAGTGCCTCCTAGGGCCACCAGAACTGCCTGCAGACGCCAACCACCATCCTGGGGTGGGCAGAGCCTGGGGCTGAGAGGTCCTGAGCTGGCACCTGGCAGTGCCCCTGAGGAGCAGGACACGCAGGGAGCTGCTGCAAAGTGCTGCCCGAGCAGGCGAGGCCCTGTGTCCTGCCATCCCAAGGCACAGTGGGATTGAGCTAGTRTCCAAGCCAGTGACCCAGCAGGCTGCATGCGCCTCCCTGCGCGGGGACCTGGAGGAACAGGCAGTTGCTGCCCGGCACTCGCAACCCTCCCACGCACCTTGATGTACTCGCTCCAGTGCTGCAGCAGCGCATGCTGCCCGCCCTTCACACGGCTGAACAGCTGGTACATCTGCGTGAGGTCGGGCACTCTGTTCTCGTCTAGCAGGTGGTCAAGCCCTACATGCAGAAATGCGGCGGGTTATGGCAGTACCCCAGCACCGAGAAGCACACAGCGCGCTGCTTGTCTCTGTGTGGCGATCTGGCCCAGGTGGACACTGAGGTAGGCCTTGGTAGGTGGGCCTGGGAGATGTGTCATTGACTTCTTCATGCCTCCGATGCTCCTGTTCCAGTACTGGGGCGACAGCCAGAGAAGCATTCCAGATACTCGCCTGGAGACCCACCATGTGGCTAYCTGATCTCTGGTTTGACCCATTAGTAAAAACGTATTTGCATAGATCAACTCAGATCTGATCTTTAGTGGACTGGTCCTCTCATGCATAATAAGTTGAGACAGAAACTTCTCAGACACTCGGAGGATCTAATGTAGCATTTTTAGATTTTCAGTGTTTGCAGCCATGTTCTAAACCTGGAGAGGCAGCTGGGCTGGGGAGGCCGGGAGCTCTCAGACACCCAGCACCTAGCCCAACACCTGGCGTGAGGCGGCCTGCATACCACAGGCAGTGAGAGAACTGCCGAGCTGCAGCCAGGGTCCCCAGCGCCTGCCATATCTCATGTCACTCCTTGTCTACTCATGCAAATAAGACCTTTGCTTTTTAGTTTTCTAGTTTATTTTCCTGAAACCCTAAACAGTGTCTTGTTGAAAAATTCTAAAATTTTAAAAAAATTTAAAATTTTATATTTTTTAAAAGCTTCTAACAAAACCCAGAATAAGCTTTTACACATAAAATTTGCCATTTTCTTACAACCATTTTGCTCGAAGTATGCAGTAAACAGATGCACACAACCTCTGCCCTCCCGTGGGGTCTTCCTTTCGCACAGACGGATTYCTTTTTTGCAAGACATAGATTCTGGGTGGACGATGCATGAGGTCCTCAGGCAGCTGTGCTGGTTTCCTGGGGTGCAGGGGGGAAACCCCTGGGACTGGAACSGTGGCTCAGGCACCATGTCAGCCATGGAGCAGGTGCCGAGGGTCTTCTGGGACCCAGGCCGGCACCCATTAGTCTTCTCTGACCACTGATGCTCAGGGACACCTAGCTTCCCCTTTCAGCTTTCCCCAGCTGGCACCTGGAGGTCCCCTGCTCATAGGTCTCGCTGGGGACAGGGCTACTATCATGGAGCAGAGCTCAAGCCAGAACATGTGTGGGCATGACGTGGAACCACCCAGACTGGACCGCAGGCACAGTGGCCTGGGAGAGCTGCAGCTCCACATGCATCTGAGATGGGTTTGAACGGCCCTGAACACCTGGAAGTCACAGAATGACCAMGTGCCAGGGGCTCTGAAAGGCCAGGCTGCTGGTCAGGGCCACTCGGCCACTTAGAGAGCTTCAGGAAGGGAAGCAACAGGCAAGGTGCGGAGCCTGTTCTCTTCCTCAGGAGACCGGGAGGAGTGTGCCTGTGCGTGGTGGGTCCCAGTTCTGGCCGTCCACTCAATGATGGGCCACGCACACCTGCCGAGGCTCTCGATGGCCACGGGCTCAGCATGTGCAAGACACCCAGGAGCACAGGTGTCTGCTCCTAGATGGCCCCCCGCGAGCTCCCTGCATGGCTGGAGGGCTGGAGGGCTGGCTAGGCTGTGCCGCTCCTCCCCACCATCCACCTTCCCATCGCCGGCTGGGTGCTCGCTGCAGATTCTCGATGCCGCTGAGAACCCATGCCCGGACCCTCCCCCAGGCTGATCCTGCCTGCYTGTGAGGAGGCCAGCACTCGTGTCCACTCACACAGTGGGACCAACCTTTCTGCAGAATCGCTGTCAAGTGTTCTCCCAGCAGCTGCTTCTCTACACAGGCGATCAGTGGTCTCCTGTAAAATCGCAGAGAGCCAGGTCAGGAACAGGACCGGTCAGCCACGAGACAAGGTGCCCACAACCCAGCTTCTCACTGGCCCTTCTCAATATTCTAAATGCAACCTGCTCAAGGGCACGGTGGAGCCCGGCAGGGAGCGGGTGCCCAGGGTGACGGCCATGCTGGCTGGCAGCTAGCGCACTGGCTGTGCCCTGGAGCTGCTTCCTGAGCAGCATGTGGGGCCCTAGGCAGACTGGTCTGCTCTGGGCCAGCCTGGGGCACGCTGCTGTTGCTGACGAGTGGCGGCCTGGGCTGTGACCCTGCTGTGCTGACGGCCTTCTCCCCACACCTCGCTGACCGGGCCCAGGCTCCTCGCCCTTGTCTCCTGTGGCAGCCCCAAGACCCACACCCACTTCTGCCTCTTGTTTCCACTAGACAGAATTCTGCGTCTCCTGGATGTCCCCACCCCCACCTGCAGTGCATAAGGGCCACACAGAGCGGGCGCCTGAGGGTCTGGAACTCAGCAGGCGAAACACCACGTCCACATGACACACAGGTCATCTCCTAGTGCTTGTCCATGATCCACAGGTCAACCCCATTTTGGTTCTTTTCAGATCAGAGGGTCTGATCTGATCCTGAGGCTTGTCAACCTTAGGTCTGTTCACTCGAGAGTTGGGAGAAAACTTTGTCACATGCCACCTATGTAAGACCGCGGCGGCCCATGGAGGACGGAGAATGACTGGGAAGGGGGAGTGCAGGGYGGTGAAGACTCCTGGAGCCTGCTGCCCCCACCCCTGCCCGTGCTCGTGCAGCTCGGCTCTGGGCAGACGCGGCCGTGGGCTCCCTCTGAACAGGCTGCACTGGCTCATGGGCACTTCCTTGGCGCCCTGTCTGCTGGAGACCTTGCTCCTCTCTCCTCCTGCCTGGCCCTCCACCCTGGAGCTGAGTTTTGCACACGTGACCATGTTCACCTCTGCCCCTTCCTGTCCAGTCCTGGGCTCGGTTTCCCTGGAATGGACACTCAGGCCACTCCCCCTTCCCTTGTTACTCCTTGGCCTCAAGAAAGAAACTATGGAAAGAGAAAACAACGTGACCGTTCCATAGTGCACTGCAGTCACGTAGGATGTGTGCCAAAAAGTTCAGGGCAAGGGTGTGTTCCGCCACAGGAAGCCAAGTCCTCAGCTGGAATCGCTCCCTGTGGCACTCACTAGTGACAGCACGGCATGGACAGCAGAAGCAAAAGTGTGCCAGGAGTGGGGACCCTCGYGGGGACACTTGTGGGGAGCCAACCCCAGGCAGGAAGGCACCTGACTTCCGTGCACAGGGCCCGTGAGCAACTCACTGCGTGCTGTGGTCCAGGTACGTGATCACGCGGTCTCCCTCTTCCTCCAGGCGCTTACTCACGTGGTTAAGGTACTCGGGGACCTTCCGAAGGAACACCGAACACGTCAGTAGCACAAAGATCCTTGCTTTTACCCAAGAACCCAAACCCTGCTTTCCTTGTAAATTAAGAAGAGTCCAAGACAAACATGGACGACTACAGGGGCCGGGGCGAGGTGGTCAGCTGGGAGGTGAACCATCACCTCAGGAGGCCCAGGCTGCCTGATGTTGCCCCTGCCCAGCGTCACTCCCTCCCTGAGGCCCACGGCCTGCAGTGTCATCTGGAAGGAGGGTACTGGGCCTGCCACAACCCTGCACCCAGGCACAGCAGCCAGTAGGCAGCTGACACCCTACATCACGCAGAGGTCTCCGAGGATGCCKTACGCGACCCCAGAGCTGCTGCCAGGCTGTGTCTCACGCGAGGCTCCCCTCTAAAACCAGGCCTGGGACCAGCCAGGGTCTGTGCTGTGCTTTGCAGGTGACACAGGGTGATCAGCCCAGTGGAGTCCCGTAGRGCTCTGCTCACGTATCTGGGAAGCTGGTACTAGTTTTTTTTTTGGTACCAGGGATTGAACCCAGGGGTGTTTAATCACCGAGCCACATCCCAGTCCTTTTAAAAGACTTCATTTGAAAACAGGGTCTCGGGGCTTGGGATGTGGCTCAACTGGCAGCGTGCTCGCCTGGCATGCATGAGGCACTGGGTTCGAACCTCAGCACCACATAAAAATAAAGATATTGTGTTCACCTAAAAAACTAAAAAATATAAACATTTAAGAATAAATAAATAAATAAAGACAGGGTCTCAGTGAGTTGCTTAGGGCCTCGCTAAGTTGCTGAGGCTGGTTTTCAGTTTGGGACCCTCCTCCTCAGCCTAATTAAGCCACTGTAGTTATAGGCATGTGCCACCGTGCCCGGCTACGTAAGGATTGGAGGGAAATTTTTCCCCAATGCTTCCTAGAGATGAAAAACTTTGGATTTTCTTTCCTGTTTAGGATTTACTCATTTTCCCTGATTAAACTTGAGATCCTTTACTATTTCAGGAAATGTCTTGTGGGTTTTATCTGTAGGGGGAAGACAGAAATGCAGTTTCTGAGTGAAGGGAAGGAAAGCAGATCCTCACCAGGATGGGAATAAGCTCACCACTGGGCACTCTGGCCAACCCAGCTCCTCCCCAGGAGAAGGCCCTCGGGGCGGGGGGAGGTGACCCCGAGGCGCTGCCCCAGAGCACAGCTAAAGAGACAGGAGATTCAGAAGCACCCCAGGGTCTCACCTCTCTCTCTTGCATTAATCTTTGGCCTTCTGCAGCATATAAACAATTAGTTTCTTCTAAAAATTTCAGCTCAAACGAATCTTTATATACCTAAGAAACAAGAGGTTAGTGACCAATTTCAGTGACAAAGCCTCAAAGGCTAGGGACCGCCTCCTGTGGCGGCCCTGGGCCCAGCTGCCCACACCACCTGCGCAGGGCTCCCCAAGCACTGTCTTCCCCTGCGGGCACCAGCCCATTAGAGGGTGTGGCTTTGTCCTTTACAGGGTACCGGCATTCATTTCCACTCTTGTCACCTGATTTTACCATACATTTGCTATAAAAGATAATTACCGTTTTTAACGTATTCACATCTGTCAGTCTTTCTCCAGTGGCTCCTGGTACACGGTCAGCCCGAGTACCACACCCTCCTTAAAAGTTAATGACCTCCCTTCCTGCACAGGGAAGCTCACCTGAAGGTCCGAGAGCATGCCCAGCAGGCTGCGCAGTAGGCTCCTGTCCACGGCCTCACCGCTGCGCTCCCGTTCGATCAGCAGAAGGATCCCATCGATGGTCTTGCTCTGAACCATCTTGTCACTGATGATGTGGTTTCTGAACAGCTCCAACCCCATGTCCCTGGATAATGGTGAAGATACAACAGACTTGGGTCTCGGGCCTCCACTCCAGCTGTCCACAAGCCCTATCAGGGGCTGCTCTTCATGGACCCTTACATTAAAAGCAATTACTTCTGGCCAGTCCAGGAGGCCTTGTCTCCTTCCCTACAGGATGCCCATTTCCTGGAAAGGTCAAGCTGACCATCCCAAGTGGAGGCACGGWCTCAGCTCGCGTCTGTAGCTGACAGTCCAATCACTGCTGGGCACAACTCTCGGCCCAAGCCCAGCTCAGCTGCTCCTCCTGGGGAGCCTTGGCATTGGACCTGTCCTTTTCCCTCTGCTGACCCGGAGCTCCCTCTCCAGGCACCAGGGCCCTGGTGCTGGGTGGGTCCCTTCCCACAACAGATCTTAAAGTCCTAACTCCTCAACTCACAGCCTGGAATTGGGGAGGTGATGCAGCTGCTGGGGTGACCATYCAGACTTGTCTGACACAAAGTCTGTACTGTTTCAGAATTCCTGCGGGTCCCTAACTGCTRAACCCCACCGAAGAAGGGGGACAAACTCAGCTACTGGGCTCCAACCATACAACCTACTTCCAGGACAGCAACGGGGCTGTGTGTGAGCACAGGGGTGGTGTGTCGTGCTACAGTGGACAAGGTCGTGAGCCACGTCGGGCCAGAGCCCCCTCCCACCACTGCACAGCACACCAGAGAACTCTCCTGTGCACTGGAGAGGARCTGCCTGCGTTGGCTGGAGCAGTGAAGGGCCATGGGCGGCCAACAGCTACTTGGTYTGACTCTGAGCCCTGCTCTTGGCTGTGTGCAGGGAACTTAACCTCTCTGCGCCTTTCTCCTTCACTGTGGAAAGGGGAGTCGATGTGTGAGCTTGTGCCATGGGAGGTGGTACCAGACAGGTGGCCAACGCTCCTCACTAGAGACTGCACTGCAGCCTGAGCACACTCCTCCTGACAGGCCCTGTGCAGAGCCCACGCAAGTCACCCAGGCTGGACGCCACCAGGCTCCGCCCAGGCCTGTTCTGCTGGGCTTGTTGCTCYGCTCTTCCACCGTCTCAGCTGCAGACTCTGCACCCTGGCTCTTTCTTCAAAGCTCAGGCCCAGGMCATCCTCAGCTGGCCCTCCTGTTGTAGTACTGCCCTCAGGCACCCAGGCACGGGGCCTCTGCTGGCCCGTATGATAGACTGGAGGTTGTAAGCCTGCTTTACACTACAGACATGCTCATGTGACGAGCTATGGTATAAATTACCCACAAATCGAGAGTTCAGCCAGGGATCCTGGCAACTCAGGGCAGGTTACTCCAATTCTCTATGCCTTAGTTTCCACAGAACAGGGGTGGTAATGGTCATGCCCGGTAGTGCTGGGCACCCCGCTGCCGGCTGCAGGAGCAGTGAYGCCCTGCACAGAGGAAACGCTGCCCAGAGTACCCTAATCACTGCTACCACCCCCATCCCTTCCTGTGCACCCRGCTTCCTTCTGTATAGGGCCCACCATCTCATGGCTCACGTGGACACCTAGTATGAGATGTGGGGGCAGAAGAGTCAGAGGAGTAAAGGAGCAACGGGGAATGGCGCTAAGGAAGGGGAGTGCCTCCGAAGGAAGGCACAGACCCGCAGAGCCTCCAGTTACGTGAAACACATCAGCAGGCTTGGGGGGAACGCAGYAGTGCGGCCACACCACCTGGACGGGGCGGCAGAGTGAGTGACCCCAGGGCAAAGGACAGCAGAGTGCAACGTCACTTGAYTGTTAAGTGGGAAAGCAGTGGACYACATCAACAGAGAACAAGGTGACTTGGAGACAGGGCTTGGTTAGACAGGCCTCTGCTTCAAGCTCGTCAGTTAGAGAAGCGAGGGGGGCTCCCACCCTGCACAGCCCCAGCAGGAGGGAGAGGACAAGCAGCAAAGGCAGGAAGGACAGGCCTACACACGAGCAGCCACACCTGTGCCAGGAGGCCAGACCCTGTCGGCCAGGCCCACGGGGCCCTTGGGCATCATGACMGGGCAAGTGCTAGCAGCCTTCAGTTTTAGCTGCAAGAACTGCTCCAGGCTCAAGCTCAGGCTGCCARAGGGAGAAGCCACGTCCCCGAGTCTTCACCCCACAGCAGGCCAGGGGTGGGCCAYAGAACCCAAGGCAGGCACGAGGAAGTCCAGGTGCACCTCGCCCTCTCTCCTGGTGAAGACCCAGCTGGACTGTGTTTGCATCTSTGACCTCGGCTGACCAGGCAGCTAAAGCCAAGGTATGCTCTAGGGCAGTGCACTCACCAGATGGAGGGCAGCAGGGAGTTCTGCAGGACGTAGGTGCGGTCCAGGAACAGGAAGATGCCTCTGACCATGATCTGGGGACCAGAAGAGCAATTGTCCTTCCAGAGCAGACCTCTTGGGCACCGCCACGTGCGCCACTGTGGAGCTCAATTGCTTCTTGATAGAAAGATGACGCCCCCCCCCAGGCCTTACTCGCTGAGGTTGACTCTTCTGCTGTGCTTGACCTTGGGCTCTTAATACGACAACCCTGACTGTGGAATTGTGAAGCGGCTTTACGCCTGGTGATCTCCCGCCCGGCGTGACACAGCGCCTGAGACTGCTGGAGGCCCCCAGCTTTCCAGACTAGTTCCTATCCCACTGCAGCAAGGCTCTGGCACCTGTGCAACCTGACTCCCGAATCAGGTGGGAAGGCCGCCCAGGTCCACCAGCAGGCTTCCACATCTCGCCCCAGCTCCAGCCCAGAGCAGCACCCCAGGGAGCAGGTACTCAGTCTGCACTAACCCTCARCAGGTCCCAACAGTCAGGCCACACGAAGTCACACTAGTCGGTATACCTCAGACTGCCCTCCAGCTCAGCAGAGAGGAGACTGCAGCCCTGGGGGGACCCCAGGAGCCATCCAGCTTCCCCCTCCTGGGGGAGGGCAGGGTCCTGCTCACTGGTGCTCCCCCAGGGCTGCGGCAGGGGGCCCACACTCACCATCTGTCTGCAGTGGTCCTGCCAGCAGGTGTCCATCTTCTTCAGGAACACAAGGCTGTCCAGTGCGTCTGTGCAGAGGTGCTAAGGAAACCTCCCGGGCACAGCGCCACCTGGACCCTCCATACCCACATCTGCCGCCCCAGCCATGCTCTGGCGCTCCTCCCCATGTCCAAAAGTCCACGAGACCCCAAGAGCTGCCCGCCCCTCTGCATGGGCATGCYGGGAGGAGATGCCCTGACCAGACACTGACCTGGGTGCCTGGCCTCGACCTCTAGCCTTGCATCTGTGATTCACAGTCACCTACTTCAAGGGACTGTGTGACAGCAGCCCCAAGGAACTGAGGGCACCACCCCCAAGCCACAAGTATGGCTCATTCACCCACATCAACCCAGGCACACCYTGCAAACCCTCGGCCACAGCCGTCCTCACCCCTGCGCACCCCTGCTCCCCCGTCTCTCACCGCTTCCTGCACGGCCTTGCTGGAATGCTCAGGCCCTGCCAGGGGAACCAGGCCACAGCCTCAACCAGCAAAYGGCACTTGCTGGAGGCAGCCCTGCTGAAGGTTCTGGGGGCTGGCTGCGAGGGTGCCCGTGCACGGCTGGAAGGAGCTGGCAGCTGAGGAGACACTGGTGGGCCTCTTACAGCCTGCAAACACACTGCCTGTCCATAGGACCATCAAAGGCCCCAGTCTCGGGGAGATCCCGTGCGACCCGGGTCTACACTGCGCTGAGCTCCATACCAAGAGCCCAGGCCTCAGGGGGAGATCCCGTGCGACCCGGGTCTACACTGCGCTGAGCTCCATACCAAGAGCCCAGGCCCTCTCTGGTTCTCTCCTCTCGCCAGCTGGCTCCTCCCTCTGAACTGGGAACCCTCTCCAAAGTGTTCTTGGTTTCTCAATAGCAACAGGCTGGTCACAGGGTCTTGCCACCCACTCCTGTCCAGGAACAGCCCAGCACACACCCCAGGCACTTAGACGTCCTGCCGAAAAGGCCCACCCTGTGCTGTCTGCACTCAGAGGCTGACCCTCTGCCACAGGTCAGAACCCTGGCTTTCGGGGTCCCTACYTTGGTGTCACCTTCTATGGCTCCCACTCCTGACCTCTGCTGGGGGCTCTTGTCTCCTGGGCAGGCCTCTGCACAGGTGCCTGGGACCTCCATCTCCTCTCTCACAGGGGGTCCAATGTCACCCACCCTCAGCGCGGCCACCAGGCACTCTGGCTGCACAGCTCAYGAGGACTTCTGTGGCAGGAATGCCTATTGTCATGCATCTGTCACCTCAAGGGACAGAATCCCACTCCACTCAGACCTTTCCCAGGGCCTTGCCAGATGCTGGCAGGTGACGCCCTTTCAGAAACGGCTGGCTTGGTGCCCCGGGCCTGTCACTGGCCCCTAATTCTCGTTTGTCTTTGTTCTGCAAAGCGATTCTCACAGGGCAGTCTGACCCCATTTGTGTGTGTGTGTGTGTGTGTGGTCCTAGGGATGAGACCGGGGGCACTTTACTACTAAGCTGCATCCCCGGCCCTTGAACTTGTGATCCTCCTGCCTCGGCCTCCCAAGGTGCCGGTACTGCAGGTGTGCGCCATCATGCCTGGCTCTCTGTCAGCTACTCATGTCATGGATTTCAGTCCGACTCCTCCAGTGCACTCCTGGTTGGTCCCACCCATAACCTCTATCACAGCCCCAAAGCACTAGGCATGCCCTCCACACTCTGCCTTCTGTTCCATCCTGCTGTCCAGGGCGCTGTCTAGCGTAGTGCTGTCCTGACACCCAGGACTGACCGTGTCTGACCCCCAAGACGCCACACAGCTAGGAGGATACTGCATGTGGAGTGTCTTCTGTCCTCTTCTATGGAAACAGTGGGGAGWCTCACACCACGGGTTTGTCCCAGCACCAGAGGAAATACTGGCCCTGGCTCTACTACAGGTCTGCAGCCCACGCACTGTCAGTGGGCAGCAGGCAGGGCAGTCAYTTTCTGCTTTCCAGTATGAGTACAAGAAGCCGGAAGCAAGCACTTGTTGAGTAACTGAATGAACGGACACTTCAGTCAATCACAGGGCAGGATTCGCTGGCAGGGGGGGATCTGAGCAGGTAATCAACAAGGAGTTTTCAAGCAAACTGGGAGTGGGGGAGAGAAATCCAGCAGATGGTGTGCTGGCACGCTAGTGGCTGCAGCTGGCTCCTAAGGCAGATATCCCTACCGGCGGGGCTCCAGCAGGGGGCGCTCTGCACCCACAGGTGTGTCCTGAGATGCCTGGGCACTGGCAGGTTCCCAAATGCACAGTTGCCTTGTCCTGCACATGCTCACAGTCAGCAGCACGGAGCCCTGTCAAAGTTTGGTGGAGGCGTACACAACAGCTGCAGGAGAGTTCAACACCCACGCTGACAGCCAGGCAGTCCCTGCCTAAGTGGGGGCACCTGGTCCTGGAGGCCAGAGCCTCAACCAACGAGGCTGCCCTGAGGTGGCCCCGACCCACTCAATATGAGGGTAAAGGGCCAAGGGCCAAGGACTCCCTGAGCCAAAAGAACTGAAAAGCGGGGGTCCCAGACCCTCCTTCTACAGGTGGAGACGGAGCCCAGGAACATGAAGACACAGCCTGTGCAGTGACGGAACCTGCGTGCCCACGTGGCCCAGCAGGGCGGGGCAGCCACAGCAGAGGGAGTGGCTGGGATCTCCTCACAGACACCCTCCTGGTCCGCAGCGCATGCCTGGTGACACCTTCCCCTTGACTGGAGACCCATGGACATCACCCTGCATGGCCTCCACTGTATGAGGTGCAGCCCTGGTGGGACAGAGGCCGCACATGACCATCCTGTGAGAAGCCACCTGCAGCTGGGAGTGCCCTGCCAACACCAGCAGGAGAGCTGGGCCTTGGTCAGACAGGGCTGAGTGCCCCCCAACCCCTGGACCAGCCTCACGATTCCTGGGCTTTGGCCTCAAGACTGAGCATAGGAGCCGGTGTCTGASCTGTCCTCTGTCCTGGGATTCGCTGCACATCCCATGAAACCAGGACAGGTGGCTTTCACAGAGCCAGGAACAGAATCAACACTGAGACGCTTCCAGAACTTTCCCTAAACACTTCAACCAGGCACAGGCACAATGAACAGGMTGCTTTCCACTCCTACCAGCAAAGCAGAAGCTAAAACAAAGGTCAGCTTTCTGCTTTCTGCGTGAAGGGCCCTTGAGTGCTGTGGTTCTGACCTGAAGGACATGACCAGTTCTCAATCCCATCAATCCAGCCTTAAAGACTTAGGTAACGAACAGCCGCCTCACGAGCCACAAAAGGATATTCTCTGAAGGGGAGGATCTGAGCCTGGACATGGTCCTCGCAGACCTGGCGCAGCTGCTTGTAGAGCGTGGCGGAGACTTTGTGAGAGCAGAGGTTCTCCACAGCCTGCAGGAGGGAGCAGTCATCACTGGCAGGAACAGCGGCTTGGCTGAGGCGCTGCAGCTGTCACCCCTTGTTGCTGCTCCTGCTGTATCTGCTGAGCCTGGCTGCAGTCGGTCCCCAGGAAGCCCGGGGCAGGCATGCTCCCACAGCCGCATCCTGGAGGCTCTGCTCCCTGGGCCTGCAGTGTGGGCCCTGCCCAGGGACCGCAGCAGAGGGGCCTTCCCCTCCCCCGGAGGAGCTCCCAGAGGACTCCTGAGCCATGTGGGCCAGGCCAGAAGCCCTCCTTCGCCCTCTGTGGCTCCACGGGCACTTCACCAAGTTCTGTCTTAGTGAAGAAACAGGCTACTTTTTGAGACAATTTTTTTTCTTAAAATATTTCTATTCACTTTCAAGTAATGTTTGTACTTTTTTTTTGTTTCTTTTTTTTTTTTTTTGATACTGAGGGTTGAACACATGAGCGCTTAAGCACTGAGCCACATTCCTAGCCCTTTGGATTTTTTTTTAAATTTGAGACAGGGTCTTGCTAAGTCACTGAGGATCTCACTACATTGCTGAGGCTGGCGTTGAACTTATAATCCTCCTGCCTCAGCCTCCCAAAGCACTGGGATTACAGGTGAGCACCACCACACCTGGCTAACATTTGTACATTCTTACCGGTTCTAACAAAGCCTCATTTCAAATCTCACGTACAAATCCAGAATCTCATTTAATTCAAATGTGAAAGATCATAAACAGAAATATGTGTTTCTAACCAACTAGTTTTCAATCATTTGAAAGGACAGGATATAAAGAATTGAGACATAGCAGAAAAAGAATCTGAATTTAACTAAAACAYAATGTTTTCCTGGGGAAAAAACGTAAGTGCCATCAAAACACTCACAGTAGTAGTGCTAACTCCAACACTTAACATCAACACTGCCAGACACCGTACTAACCACATCGAGGGCACTGATCACCACCGTGCAGGACAGGAAAATTCACAACTGCTCTAGAGTGCCAACGGCTAAACGTCGGAATCTTTTCTTTGAAGCAGATTTACCGTSTGCAGAACAAGGAGCTGGTACACGTCCCCTACGATCTGCCTTAGTGTAGAAGTAAGGGTTCCCACCCCCACTGCAACTCGCCGTCCCCAGCTTTCCCCACTCCTCCTGCCGTGTCTGTGACTCAGTCCAAGGTCTCCTGGGACCTTCTTCCCGAGAACCCCCATGGCTGTAGGCAAGCTCTGCTCCAGSGTCAGTCACCAGTGGTTCCCACAGACACAGCTGCCACAAACTGCAACCACCAAGACGGGCTGCATGACTGTCCTGCACAGAAGAGCTCCTGGCCAGGATGTCTTCTGAATGCCCCTCCGGAGTTGGAGCCCGTTTCCCCACGCCGGTACGCTGTCGCTGCAGACTGAAGGCTGACTCAGCCCACACTATTCACAGGAAGCACGCTGGATGTACCTTGGTTTTACTACTGAGGATTTGGGGACCTCTCAAGGGAGGCAGTCAGCCCTGAGGGAGCGCAGGTTTGTAGGGGTGCCGAGTCCTGACCCAGTCTTCCTGTGATAGCGGGCCTGGGTCTCCTCCTGCTCATCAGTCCCGCCCTGGCAGGGGTCCTGGAAGCTCCTGCGCTGTACTCCTGTGCAGCACAGTGCAGGAGCCTGCCCCCCGCAGGAGTTTTCTTCATTTTCTCAAGTAGTGATTTCCAAGGGCCTTCTTGGGATGCAGGTGGCCCCTGCTGACGAGGCTTTGGGTTGGCATGCTGCTGCTGCTGCTGGCATCTTGAAGCACCCAGCGGCTCTCCTCTCCTCTCTGCCCAGCAACGTCTCTCAAGCACGGGCTGTGCAGCAGGCTGTGCCAGGGCCAGGAACACACTGGCAAGCACAGAYATGGCCCCACACACTGCCTTCCTGCTGCCCAGACGTCACTCAAGTGTCCACTGCCACAGAAGCGAAGCACCTCCCTGAACCAGCACCCAGCCCAGGCAGGGCCCCAGTGACAATGGCAGGCTGTGGGCAGAGCCCCCTGCACCCATCACACCTGGGCACCCAGTGGTGGGAGGGAGCTGTGGGCAGGGGCCCCTGCACCTTTCACACCTGGGCACCCAGTGGTGGGAGGGAGCTGTGGGCAGGGCCCCCTGCACCCATCACACCTGGGCACCCAGTGTGGGAGGACACAGGCTTGTGTGTGAACACTCAGGGGCAAAGCTGAGGGCAGGCAGGACACCACCACAGCCCCCAAGTGCCTGGGAAGTAGGCACAATGACAAACAGGCCCCGTCACACTGGGCCCAGCAAGGGTGCACTGTGGGGAGGAGCAAACCCCACACCCACTGTCTGCAGCCATGCCTCTCATGGACACTGTGGTCCTGGCCACTGCTCGCTGCTGCAGCAGGCCAGTACACACTCACCCTTGGAGGGACGGCTGCTCCCAGCATGTCATCCCTGCAGGTTCCTGCCTGGAGGGGCAGGTGGACAGGCCAGAGTTCAGTAAGGACTAGACTCTGGAGTCTCCCGGCACGCCTGCCAGAGTGGTGCCCTCACGGCCCCAGTGCAGAGTGGCTGGAGGTGACATCCTTTCTGTTAGGCCTGAGGACTGGAGACAGTCCATTCTCCCTTGTTTTTCATCAACTTACAATTGAATCCACTCTTGATTAACGTGTTTCTGTTTCCAACCAGCCCATCCAGTCATGTGCCCATCTGTCCACCACGCTATGGCTTTCCACCTCAGTCTTTGCTGTCCATGCCAGCACTTCCCAATTCCCGCCCTGCCCAGAAGATGGGGCCAGCTCCCTCAGAGCCAGCCCGAGGCCTCCCTCCTGAGCTCTGGGAGCACAGCCTGCATTTTCCATAGGCCTTCTTCAGCAGGGAGTTGTGGGTCCCACCGGGTCTTCAAGGGCAAAGGTAGAAGATCTAGGCCTTCTTCAGCAGGGAGTTGTGGGTCCCACCGGGTCTTCAAGGGCAAAGGTAGAAGATCTAGGCCTTCAAAGAACCTCAGAGCCCCTTGGATGGATGGGTGGTGAGGGCCTGTCTCCCTCCTTCCTCCAGCAGACAGAACAGAGCAGACAGGGCCACAGAGGACAGGGCCTCAGCTGCAGGCTTGTGTCTCTGCCGGGCCAGCGTAGACCAGTGCTGTTCTGCAGGGATGACCACCACCATGTGACCACYGTCCCATGTGAGCCTGCTGGACTGCACACACCCTGGAGTGTGGCATCCCGCCTCAGTGAGGGACTCCGTGATGACGTTTTGGGGTATGCATTCCCCGCCCTCAGAACTTCAAAACTGAGACCCAGGACACCTGGAGATGATGCTCGTGACAATGTCTGTGATTACTGTTCTATCACTGCTCAGGAGGCATGGCAAAGGACTGCCATGGTGTGAGGAGAAGACACTGGGCAGCCCGTACCAGGTGGCTGCCCTGGAGAGCGGCAGCCTCAGCTGGAAGCTRTGGTATTTATTAAACCAGAGCCTGTGTGTGCTCAGATACTTGGGGGGATTCTTGCTTCTGGCCCAGGGCAGTAAGTGAAAGCAGTCACTTGGCCAGAATCAAGGGACTGGACCAACACTCTGCTGAAATAAATGAGACAGAATACAAAGCGCTGGATTCTGGGCCATGAAACACAGTGACCTCCGAGAGGTGGAGTCGGGCCCCAACTGCTCTGCTTCCTGTCGGGAGTTCCCAGATGAGGGCCCTGAGAGGAGAGGTGTGGCCAGAGGCTCTGGAGATGAGCAAGGAGATCATCATCTGGGGTCTGGCCCTGGGGCGAGGAAACTACTCAGCCCAGGAAAGACCATCTAGAAGGTGCAGGCAGCAGCCCTGAGAGCAGCTTCCCACCAGCCGAGTGAAGCCACCTGGCCTCAGGGGTGAATCAGGAGCACACAACACTGCTCTGGCCAGGCCTAACAAGTCCTGGAAGTCAGACTCACAAAGACCAGCTTCCAAATAACTTAACTCTGTCAGAACCAAGGTCAAAAATATTTTTAGGAATAGAAAACTAATCCAGGGCACCAGTTACAACTCATGTCTGACATCCAATCAAAGATGACCAGATGCGAAAGAAGTAGGAAAGTAAGCTAGTGGGGGAAACCAGCCAGTCCAACCAGCTCGGAACAGACCGGAAGACAGAACGGGCAGTGAGGCCAATGAAATGGCCATTACAACTAAACCCCACGTGTCCCAGGTTGAGCAGAAACACAGCAGATGCAGGAAGGTTCAAACTGAGTAGGGAGTGGAAATGTGGGGTATCAGCAAAGGAGGTGCTGCAGAAGACCAGGACCCCGAAGAAGAGGCAGCAGGCGCAGCAGTGAACCCAGGCACCGACTGCCATGAGAGCCAGACCCCCCACCAGGAGTCCTCTCTGACACCCAGGGAAGAAATGACCCTTCTGCACAAATACCCAGGAGGCAGAGTGGAGAGAACATTTAACTGCTGAGGCCGGCATCACTCTTCACATCAAAACTGGACAAAGATACAAGAAGAAAACAACAYATCCGTGTCCCTGCGAACACAGACACAAAAGTCAACAAAACGTTAGCAGAGCAAACCCATCATCATGCAAAAACAGATAACACATCAGGTCCACATATGYAACCCGGAAAACAAGACTGGCTGTATATGAGGAAAAACATCAACTAACAGACTAACTAAGAAACAGAAATTCTACCATCCCTCAAGAGATGTGGAAAAAACTCCCAGGAAACTGAGAGAGAAGGGAACCTCCTCATCTCGGAGCCTGGCCCTCACAGGCCAAGGGGGAAAGCTCCCCAAGACCAGGAGACTGCCTGTCCCCAGGCCACTCCCCTCCTGTGCAGGTTCCAACAGGACAGTGAGGTAAGGAGAGGATGGAACAGGCATGCAGATGACAAAGGAAAGCAAAACCAGCTCCACTCAGACAAGACAGCGTGTGTGCAGAACAGAAGGTACAGAAAACCCATAGAAGCACACAATGTTGGCGGAAAGCAAGACGAGATCCAAAAACCACTGGTACTTCTACATGACAGTGAGAACCCGAAGCCGACTTTTAAAATGCTATTATAATGCCATCAAAATGTGAAACAGTTAGGAACAAATTTCACAAAAGATGAAAGTCCTGCACTGCATCTTGGAAATACTGAGAAATGAAAAAAGACCTTAGAAATACACGAAGCCCCATCCCTATGATTGACAGTTAAGATGCCAATTCTCTCCACATTGATCTACAGATTACTTGTTAACTCAACCAAAATCTTAGCAGACTTGTTGGTAGAAATTGGAAAATAGAAAACTACAATTCATGAAATGCCAAGGACCCAGAGCAGCCACCTCTTCCCACTCATCATGCCCGATCCAGACGAAGGCATCTGACAAGGCACTCACAGCAACTGGGGGCAAGGGCAAGCTCTCTACGGGTAGTGCCAGCAGGAGCAGACGTCTGCAGGGCACGCCACGTGTGGCTTCAGCCTCACGTACACACAGAAAACCATGAGCCCAGACGTACACCCCAGCACTGAAGTGTCGCAGGAGAACACCTCTGTGGTGTTACACTAGACAGAGAGTCCTCAGACCCAGGAGCCCATCACAAACAGACGAGGACAAGCAGKCCTGACGGGCTCCGACTCGACAACCCCTGCTCTTCAGGGAGCACGCACGGCAAGGGGATGGGGCAAGCCACATGCTGGGAAGAAGCCTGTGACACTGAGCCCGCACACTCAATAAGAAAAACATCCCAGCAAAACATGACCAAGAGATCTGAGGAGACACTTTATCAAAGATGATATAAGCAATGGCAAAAAAAAAAAAAAACAAAAAACAAAAACACGAAAAGATGCTTACATGAGTAGGGAAATGCAAATCAGAACCACTGGAAACCTACTGCACCTCTGACAACACCAGAGTGGTTCCATGCACACCTGGAACTCACAGGCTGCGGGGAGAGCACAGGTGCAGACACCTGAAAAGCAGGTTTCTTACAGACATGTACTTCCTGTGTTGGCCAGACACCTGGAGAGAGAGCCAATCAGTGACTGCCAAGGGTTTCTAAGTTGCTGAGGGTCTTGCTATGTTCTCCAGGTTGGCCTCCAATTTGTGATCCTCCTGCCTCAGCCTCCCAAGCCGCTGGGAGTACCCACGTGGGCCACCATGCTCAACTGAACCTGTTTTGACTGCAGTCTGTCAACATGTGGGCAGGTGTGGAATGTTCACTTCTGGCATTATGCAGGTACTCAAACAATTTTGGATCTTGGAAACTTTCAGATTTTTGGATTAGAGATGCTCAACCTATAATTTTCTTTGGGTAGTGATGTCCTCACTTGTAATAACCCATACAAAAAATTGTTAAAACTCAAGGCTCTTAATAGAAATAGTTGCATGATCTATCGTTACATAAAAAGTAGACATTAGGCTACTTGATCCTCATTCTGTAAAATCATGTCATTAAAAAAGCGTGATTTGTGTGAAACATCCAAAGGGCTGTGCCTCTGGCCATTTTCCCCTACTTAGAGATGGGACGTCATACTTGAGTGTAACARAGTAAGTTTGCAAACCTTATTTCCAACCGTTAGGCACCAAGCGCTGGGGAAGAGGCSAGGGTCACTCCGCTCGCAGCGCGGGGAGCGGGGCAGCCACCACCCGCCGCCCGCCCGCCTGGTCCCCGCAGGGCCCGCCACCCGACCCCCGCGGCGCCCCGCCGGCCTCACCTGGTACAGCTCCTCCAGGTTGTACCTGATGGACGTGCTGCCCTGGATGGCCCTCACCGCCTCGTGCAGCTTCCGCCACGTGTCCTGCGTGTAGTTGTCCGGCAGCCGCGGCCTGTCTGTGGAGGAGGGGGTCAGCGGGCGGCGGCGCCGGGGAGCTTCGGCGGGCCGGCCCGGGAGGCCGAGGCCGCGACCGAGGCCGAGGCCGAGGCCGAGGCTGAGGCCGCGTCCGCGCGCGCGCCGCCGCCCTCGCCCGCCGCGCACCCACCTCGGAAGTTCTTGATGACCAGCTTCCTGGAGCCGCCCGCGCCCCCCGGCTTGGCGGGGCCGCCGGCCAGCGCCGCCGGCTTGGTGAGGCCGTTGGTGCGGCCCACGAGCGCCGAGACGCTGCCCTTCCGCGGGCCCTCGTCCGCCATGGCTGGGCCGGACGCCGCCCCGCCCCGTGCGCGCCGGCTCCTCCTCCGCCCCGGCGCCCCGTCCGTGCGCGCCGGCTCCTCCTCCGCCCCGGCGCCCCGGCCCTGCGCGCCCCGCTCTTCCTCCGCACCGGCGCCGGTCCGTGCGCCGCGGCCCCCGCCACTGCGCCCGCGCCGCCCGGGCTCAACCGCCGCCGCGCCCGCCCCTGCCGGGGCGCGCGGACCTCCCCATTGAGGGCTGGGGCGCGCGGGGACAGCCACGCTGGGGGCCCGGGCGCGCGGGGACGCCCTGTGTCCCGAGGCCGGGCGCGCGGGGAGCTGGTTCCCCAATGGGTTGGGGACTTCCCCACATGGTCTCGGGGAACGCGCGGGGACACCCCACTCCGGGGGCTCCCGTGCGCGGGAAGGACGCTCTCGGGTGGGTTGGGGACCTCCCAGGACCTGGGAGCGTAGGGGCCCGTCCCTGGGCGGCCTGCCTTCCCCCTCTGGGCTCGCAGTCCTCAGGGCTCGGGTCCCGCGGAGCGAACGGCCGCTGCGTGCGGGCCTGTCACGCACCGCGCGCGGGGCGCTCCAGTCCCTGGCGCCGCGCCGCCCCTCCGGAACCGACGAGCGCGGCGCCGAGCCGCGGGGGCGCCGCTCGCGGACGGACCGCACCGGAAGTGACGCGGTGGAGGTCCGCGGCCGCTGCCATGGCGCACATCACGATCAACCAGTACCTGCAGCAGGTGAGTTCCTCGGCCGCTCCCCGCCAGTCCGCGCCGGCGGCGGGAACGGACGCTGGCGGAGAGGGAGGGGGACGGCGGTCGCGGTGGCCACGCGAGGCTGGCCTGGGGCCCGTCGCGTCGGTGTCAGCCGCCSCGAGCGGATCCCGTTGGGCAGACGCGCTGCGGGTTGGGCCGCTGTGTCTGCGGGGCTTTTGCCGGAGGCGGTAAGTGGCAGAGTCACGGCCGAGCGGGCTGGGGTCGGAAGCCGTCCCTGTGGCCGCTAAACTAGGCCGGGAAGCGGGTGGCTAAGTGGGTCGAGTGAGCCCCTCTGGTTAGCTGGAGCGAAGGGCATCTTGAGGACCTTTCTGATTTTTACACCCCTTCCTGGTGCAGCCGTGGGTCTGCCTCCGAGGACCCAGGCCCTTCCCACGGCCTGCATCTGAAGGCTATAAGGGAGGAGCATCTGCAGCATGCCTGTCTTTCCCTGGGGATGGGAGACAATACTTGCAGAAACCCTGTCTCCACCCTAAACATCTCACTGGYGAGGACTCACTGGGTCCCCTTGCTGCAAGGGAAGTTGGGAATTCACTTACTGCCATGTTGAATATGTGTCTCTGGAGTTGATCTCTGCCAGCTTAAAAAGGGGGAAGGGAACAGTTAGTGCTCACTGCTGCTGTCTCCTGATTGCCAGTTAGGTCACAGCTCAAGTGTCATGTCCACAGAGGCCCTCCAGGATGGCCCATTAAGGAGAAGCCTAATTTACCTTGTGTGGTATTTTGCTTTTTTGTATTTTTTTACAAGACATTATCTTGATCCTTTTAAGATTTATTTATGTGTGTGTGTCTTTCCTCTTTAAAACTTGAGCTACATAAGACTAGTGACTTTGTTATTTCTTACCTCTGCACTCTGGCTCAGGAAGTGTGTTGGAAGCTGACAGAAATGGGAAAGCCCAGCCAGAGGGGTGGGCAGGAGGGTTGGATGATTTTCAATGCTCACACCTCCTCTTGGTGACAGTCTCATTTTCCTTGTCTCATCAAAGCACCTCTCTTCTTGGCAATGTGTTTTTAGAGGAGCACTCTGAAAAACCCATCCTTTGCCTCTCTTGTCCAGTGAGAATAGTTTGGGCTGATGATGAGAATAAGAAAAAGAAGCAACGATTAGTGCTTGTCAGCCGTTTCCTAAGTAGCAGAGTCTGCCATGAGCACTTTTATGCATGTTCAGTGTTTTTTTTTTATGAGTGAGTCCATCACAAGCCCATTTTACAGAGTGGGTTAAGTTGTCCACCCAAGAGGACTTGAAGYTGCACAGCTGGGACTGTGACACAGTTTCTGGCTCCAGAGTCCATATTTATTTTGTTTTATACTGAGGATTGAACCCAGGGGCACTTAACCACTGAGCCACATCCCCAGCCCTTCTTTATATTTTATTTAGAGGCAGGGTCTTGCTAAGTTGCTGAGGCTGGCTTTGAACTCACAGTCCTCCTGCCTCAGTCTCCTGGGCTGCTGGGATCACAGATGTGTGCCACTGTACCCAGCCAGAGTCCATGTTCTTGACACTCAACTTTTCTGAAGGATGCTGCTTCCTGGAGAGTTGTACTTGAATCTCCATGACCATTTTGGCCCTGAGACCTTTCCTCATTTCAGCACCTTGACAGTAGCCTTGGGCAGCAACTACATGGAATAGCAGAATGTCTTTGTTTGCTGTGTTTGCTGAGATAAATTCCTAGTAGCAGCTTGGATGGGTTGGATCTCATCTTCCTTCGTGGATGCTTGAGCACAGGACCAAGGGCTTCCTTCCTCAGCATGGGGAAGGCATGTTTGTGCTGGTTTTCAGAGCTCTGTCCCATGGGGTGATGTGGCCTGGAAGGGTGCCTACAGATGCTTCAGAGAGGGAGGCACTGAGCGTGGGTAATCCACAGCAAGCCGTGAGCAAGTCTGCTTTTGTCCACCGTCAAACAGAGAAGACATTATTCCATTTCTCAAGGTAACCAGCTGTAAAAACAGCCCTGGGAAAGGGTGCAAAGGAAGAATAGCTGGTCACTGCCTTGCATCCCTCAACTGTCTGCAAGTGTCAGAGCCTAGAGGCCTCAGGAGGTGTCTCCCAACAGAGGTGAGGGCCACATCCAGACCTGTTTTGTTCTGTGCTTGGACTTTASCAGGTACCACCCAACTTGGTGTATGTTGGGGGAGGATGAATTGGATGGACTTACATGCTGTTCTTTCCCGTGCCTCTGCTTTCTGGAACTGCTGTTCTTCTTGGGCCAGCTTGCATACCGTTCTCCCCACTGTGGGCACCCCTCACCACTCTCCGAGGGCTGGCGTTAGTCCCACAGGCGCTTCTTCAGCCCTTCCAGCATGTCTCTGTGGGCTGTTATTCTTTCCTTTGTGTTCTTGATTTTTCTGTTCATGACAGAATTATGTAATGGCAATTTTTTTTTTTAAAAAGTGTATCTGTGCTTAAAATTTTATTTTCCTGCAATTGTCTATTCTGAAAAATTGCAAACGTACAGGGAAGTGGAAAGATATACAGTGACAGCTTACAGACCTTTCACACTTGCCTTCTTTCTGTGGGAACACATGCTTTCTCCCTGAGCATGTGAAAGTCAGCTGCAGACAGTGTGGCTCTGAGAACAAGGACATTCCCTCTAAACACAGAGTCTTTAGCCACTCACAACTTGACACCATAGTTGCCCCAGGTGTTCCCTGGGACTTCTACTGTTAAACCCAGGGCACGGTCATGTCTTGGGCTGCATGTGGCCTTCTGGCTCCTTAAGTCTCCTTTAATTGGGTGAGTCCTCCTGCCTTTCTAACAGCTGTCTTCCATCCAGGTTTGATTGTGTCAGCATTTGGATTTGGGTGTTCTTCTCCTGGACTGCCACAGGTTAGATGTGTGGGCGCCCCCTGCTTCTCTGGAGGCACCTCATTGGGGTAAGAGGCGTCCCCTCAGGCTCCTCTCTCATTATGGTGCCTTTCCCCATTGCAGGGCACACGTCATCTGTTGGATGATGGGGTGAGGACTGTTCCTGTGCCCCATAGCCTCGCAGGGCTGACACTGAAGGTCCTTTCCCAGGTCAGCCACTATGTTAGCACTGACTGAGCAAGCATTGCTTCTCTTTCCTTCCTTCCTCCCTCCTGTACTAGGGACAAAATGCAGGGCTCACACTTGCTAGGCAAGTGCTCTACCACTGAGACACATTCTCAGCCCTCTTTTTATGTTATTAACTATTTTTTTATCACTTAAAAGAGTATTTCCCCTATATCCTTTCTGGGCAAGCGCTTTACCACTGAGCTACAACCGCAGCCCCTATTATTGTTATTTTTTTGAAGCTCCGATTGCCTTGGCGCCTCTTCAGCTGATTTMTGTGCGTTTGAAACTGTCCGCGTCCTGCTGAGCCCTTCCTGGTGTGCGTTTTTCAGGCTCACCTCGCCTGGAGTTGGTGCATTCCCCAARGAGCTCTGGAATTCAGAAGGCAGAGAGCTGGGTGTCAGGTGGCTGGCTGTTCTGGGGAGGCTTTCAGTGGGCGGAGCAGATGAGCCCAGTTCTAGGCAGTCGTGGGTTCTGAGAGTTCGTGGTGCCCCGAGGTGCCCCGTTGGCTGAGCAGCCAGCATTGTCAAGGTGCTAACGTGCTCTGTTGCATCCCTTCTTTCCTTTCACACACCCCCWGCTTTGTAGCCACCTGGGAGGGAGTGGGGACCTCTGTGTCCTACCATCTCCAGAGATTGCCTGGGAGGTCACTGGCAAAGGAGGACCAGGGGACACAGGACCATCTGTTCTGCTCATGGAGGGACCTAGTGTCTGGGTTTGGGGACCACTGTGCTTCTGGTACCTTCAGCCACCGGAGGCACACTTCCATTTCATCATGCTTAATTCTCCTCTGTGACTTTAGCTGCCCACAGGCTGAATGTCATGGTGACGTGCATGACCAGAACCCCTGGTGTTAACCAGAGTGAGGACCCCCGAGGCCCTTAGATTGTGCCTGGACTGGGAGGGCATGTGTGCTAGAAAAGCAGAGCCTCCTGAGAGGCCAGTGTGCCTCAGGACTGCAGGGAGGGATGGCCTGGGGCTCTTGGCTGGAGGTCCTGTTGCCTGAGGAGAGGTGAGCACTGGAGGGCACAGGCTACAGGCCAGCCCAACAGCTCTTCTACTTGACACCTCACTAGGTGTACACCAGATCCCTTGTCCCGCGTGCCCAGCCTCCCCAGGGGGCCAGTGGAGGGCAGTACTTCTGAATGCTCATCCTCCTGGGACTGAACTGGTGAGAACTGGTTTCTGGGACCCACAGACCGGCATCAGCAGGCTTGATGGTCGTTCCACTTTGCTGTCCAGGCTCAGCTCCTGCTGAGATGGTGGGCAGAGAAGAGMAGGTCCCTTGGGCCTGTTCTGACCCTGGAATAGGGCCACCCCTCTTGCCCGCTGGATCTTAGGCCCAGCGAGGATTCTTTCCTCCTCCCTGCCCCAACCCCAATCAGGTAATCCTCGAGGCTCCTTTCTGCTGAGCCCAGCACCCTCCCCTGGGGTGGGCACGGGAGCCTGGAAGTCCTCTGAGTAGGGAAGCCAGTGCCCAGTGCTGGCTTCTGGGCTGCCTTACCTTGATGCTTGCAGGTGCACTTGATTTCCACCACCAGACTCCAGCTTGGCAGCTTTAGGAGGGCCCTGCCCTTTCCCGTGACCAGTGGAGGCTCTCAGTGCCCGTCTCTCTGCCTTGAGATGAGACCCCCAGACTTAGGGCAGGCCTGCAAAGAGCACTTGGTCAGTGCTTGGGTTCCTTCACAGCCAACCCTGCTGTGCCCATAGGTGACTTTCCAAAGGGCAGTGACGGGCAGGATGTGTGTGGCCTGGAACTGCAGTCTGGGCCTTGCAAGGGCTGGCTTGCAGCTGGGCTTGTCCTCAAGGCTTGGATCTGTGGCCCAGCCTGCTTGGCTTCAGGTGGCCGTGGCTGAGGAGAGCAAGCTCACCTTCCTGCAGCCCTGGTCCCAGGGCCTCCTTTCCATTCTGAGTCAGCATCCCCACCCACGGGGTCTTGGTTTGGTTCTATCTGCATTGACATAAGCACTGTGCCCGAGCGACACCGGCAAYAGGACACCTTCACACTGCGCTGTCTCTAAGTGMATTCAGGGTGGTTCTCGTAGRTTTTTATCTTCAGAGCAAATTSCACAGAATGTGTGTTCAAGGTAGTYGAGCTCTTTTTCTATGTGGTTGTGGTATCATTCAATGTCTGTGCTTCTGTTTGTGTTTGTGTAGAAGGTTGGCTTTTCCTTGCACTGCATTTCTTGGAAGTTTTCATAAATGAACGCCATATTAGAAAGCATGCTCAGAAACACCCCCACCCCCACCCCCCGGCCGCATCTCCTTCACCACTTTCCCACCCCTTTGTAGAGATGGAGAACCATTTTCACTAGATTCTGCCTGCTGCTTCCTCTGGTCTTCTTGGAGAGGTGAACAGGATGCACAGAGACACACAGGGTTCTTCTGTTTCCCTTGTTCTTAGACCAACGCTRTTTCCTTTTTCACCTTCGCTGGACTGTGGGTCCTGGGCATTGCTCCTCCCTCTGTGATGACATGGCATGTCTGTGGACATCTTGTGGTTATTCGCCAGTCTCCTGTGGTGGACGTCAGACTGCTTCCAGTGTCTTGGATGACATGCAGTCCACCTTTTGCTTCTAGCTGTGACATAAGTCCCTGGAAGCAGCTGCACTGTTTGATGCACTCTGTTGAGTATCAGGTGCGGGTTCCTTATCGTGTGCTTCCCAGTCAGCCCCACTCCTGCCTCAGRTCCTGCGCACGTCCTGGTGGTGTGTGCCATTGCTCCTCCTGGATGTGGACGCTGATGCGGCAGTGCTGGGTCACAGAGGGTGTTTGCCTGCTTTGGTAGAGATGCCAGCCTTCTGTCGGGGCTGTGCCAACTTGCCCTCCCACCAGTGTGACATGCAGCTCACTTCACGTCCCCACAGCAGTGTAATTTAACCAYGACAGCCCGGACTAGGGCCCTGTCGCCTGCCCCACTGTGGTGGGCGGCCTGCATTCAGCAGGAACTATACTGCAGATCTGAGCTTGGATCTCCTCCCATGCTGGCAGCGTATGCCTTGAAGTACAGTCCTCTTGTGACGCTGGGTAGCTTGCCAGTCCAAACTCCAAGGGACACCCAGCACTCCAGCATGATGTGCCATAAGTCATGTGCTAAATGCATTTCCACCTACAGTGGGTCGACCTAGGAGCACCTGAGTTCTGTGGGTGTGGGAGCCCTATCCAGGACTTTCCCGTGTGCCTCTTGCTTACTTGCATACCCTCATGCTGCCCCTGGTAAGTCATGTACACAAGCTGAGCCTGATGGCACGCATCCACAGTCCTGGCTATTCAGGRGAGTAAGCCAGCTTGGGCAACACAGTGAGACCATACCTCAGAAAAAGTCATGTGAACATGAAGTGTACATATCAAATTTTATTTTCATTAGATCCTACTACCATGCAGCTTTTTTCTTTGCTCTTTCGCCTGTATGATGAGAATGTTTTGTAAGCACAACTTAAGTGCACTGGGTCTTCTGGTATAAAATGTAGTGCCACAGGCCTCCAACAGCAGATAGAGGTGTGTGCGGCAAGCAGGGTCAGCTGGCATCATGTGTCCTGTAGTGCACCCTTTGCCTGCATGGTGTCTGCTCTGCCCTCCCAAGCCAGTCTGTGCAGTTTTCCTGCAGCATGTTTTCCCCCATTTAACAACAAGCATGTGGTAGAACTCTCCATTGTGGCCTGTGTGTCTGTACTTTTAGACAGCAGGTGAGTATGCTGTTGTATGAAAGCAACATCATGGCTCAGCCATTTCCATTTCCTTTTTATTTTATATCTAGGTTGAGTAGAAACCTTCTGAGTTTTGGATACGTGTAGGTTTTTTGAGTGCTGAGTATCAAACCCAGGGCCTTGTACAAGCTAGTCAAGACCTCTGCCACTAAAAAAATATTTGTGACAGTTGTAAAAATTCATTTTGAGACAGGATGTCTCTGAGTTGCCCACGCTGGCCTGGACTTGTGATTCTTCTGCCTCAGATTCCTGAGTAACTGGGATTGCAGTGTGAGCCACTACTCCTGTGGATTTTAAGCTTTTTTTGGAGATAAGGTCTTGCTGTTTGCCTAGGCCGACCTGAACTCCTTGGCTCAAGTGACCCTCCTGCCTCAGCTTCCTGAGTACTGAAACAGGTGCATACCACTGCACTCGTGAATTTTCAAATGTGTTGTTAGTATGACCAGGTAAAGCTAGARAAATTCACCTTCATTGGTAACTAAATACTAAATCACTGGTTCATTCTGCTTCTCCTGTTTTCTTGCCTCTGGAAAATCCCATTTTGAGATGGAGTTACTATATCCTGGTAAAAAGTGCTGATTTTTTACATTTTTTATTTTTCTGACCCCTTTCAAAGTAGGGGTTGAGTTTGGGGTGTGCAGTGTGATGTTGAGGTTCTGGTAGAGCAGAACACTTCCTGTCGGCTGAGGCCCCTCCCACGTGTTTCAGGTGTATGAAGCGATCGACACCAGAGATGGAGCATCCTGTGCAGAGCTGGTATCTTTCAAGCACCCTCATGTTGCAAACCCACGGCTGCAGGTGAGTACAGGGCTGTACACATGGCCTCCGAGAGAAGGGGGCAATGCCCGAGAGTTCAGAGTGCAAGCAAAAGAGAAGGAATGCCGCCATTCTTGTCTGAAGACTTCATAGTTCCCTTACAGCCRACGTCTTTCCACCCCATTCACTACAGTCCTGTGTGTCATCCCCACGCAGCTCTCTGGGGCCTGGAGCAGTGCTTTTTCAACCAGCGTCATTTAGCAGAAGGCAGTGGAGCTTGGACTCAGTACAGACCTGGGTCCCCAGAGTCCATGTGCTGTTGCCCCACAGGTGTCTTCCTCCTGGGCTCCCTGCAGAGGTGGGCCTCACACCCAGGCTTGGCCTGGGGACATGGTATAGCCTTGTACAGCAGAGCCAGGCTGCCTGAGTGGGGTTTCAGCTGTTCTCCTCCCCAAGTCACACTGAGCCCTGGGGCTGCAGAGCCTGGACATTTATCTGACCTTTTACAGCAAGCACTTGCCCACCTCTGAAAATACCAGAACCCTTAACTTAGAGTTTAAATGATATCCAAGCATTATCTGTAGAAAATATTATCATCATTGTGTAAAGCTCTGTTTCTTCACTGATTCTATTATAAAATTAGAGAACAAAGTTTCTTTTGGAAGAAACATGGGGCCACCTACCAGTGATGATATTAGCCACGTATAGACTGCATCTCAGACCCAGTGAGTGTATCTCTAGGGTGACAGCAGGTTCTGTATTACAGAGCTCCCTGGATGGTTCTGATGGGTGGAAGGCATTGGGAACTGTTGCTCTAGGTGGACTCAGTGCTGGAGACCTGGCTTGGTGGCTGTGCCCCACTTCCAGGTGGCACACTGAGGGACTCAGATCTGTCTGTCTGTCAAACCCTGCAGAGAAACAGAACCAGGAGAAATCTGTCTCTCTGTACATTTTCCCCCCATATATATGGAAGAAGAGAGATTGTCAGAAGGAGCTGGGACTCACCACTGTGGAGCCTGAGGAGTCCCACGATCTGCGTCTTCAAGCTGGAGGCCCAGGAAAGCCAGTGTGTGGCTCAGTCCAAGTCCAGAGGCTGGAGGGCCGGGCCGTCGGGAACCCTGAGGCCAGCTCCTGCCCGTCCCTCTCTGTTCAGGCCCCAGCAGCATAGCTGTTGCTCACCCACACAAGAGGTGCCACTGCCCCAGTGCCACTGGTTCCAGTGCCAGCGTGACACTGGGGCCGTCAAGTAGATGTGTAAAATTGACCTTCACACGTTGTGGTGCTCCACGTATCTAAAATCTGGCTGTTGGAAGGAAGGGAAAGGTAGAAATTCTCATCGGCCACTGGCTGGGATGTCCTGCTCCCTCCAGGAAGCCACGGAATGAGCCCTCACGGGCGGGTAGCGTTTCTGGCCAGTGAGGACTTGTTTGTGATGCACCTTGCTGTTAAACCTGTGGCAGTTGCTTAATAACCATTTCTTGACTGGCTGGCTGTCAGATGCTAAAATGCAGTGAAAGTGCCTAGAACATTTCCTGGCCTCTAGTGGGCAAAGCTGAGTGGTATCCATGGCGTCTTGGTCCCTGGAAGCACAGATGAATATTGTTAATGAACCCTTATTTAGAAGTGCTAAAACCTAAAGTATTACTACTGTGGATGCTGAGATTCTGAAACAAGCTTTTGTAAATCTAAGTGTCTTTCTATACATTGTGCTCTTTCTGTGCTCATTAACTTTATTTTTGCCATTTTTCATATAAATTAGATGGCTTCTCCAGAAGAGAAATGTCAACAAGTTTTGGAACCCCCTTATGATGAAATGTTTGCGGCTCATTTGAGGTAATTTTTGTTGAGGAAGAAAAGCAAACACAGCCAGAAACTGCTGAACTCACTAGGGATATTCTCTTGCATCACATGCTTGAAGCAATGAATAATTGACTGAAAAAGTAGAAGAGTGCATTTGTGATTTCACTTTGGGAAACCCTGTGAAAACTGGGTGTGTCTGTGGGTCCTGCTGTAAAGAGTCACCTGATACCTGTCACACTGACCGACCGACAGGGGTCTTTCATTGGTGGGGGGTGGAATCTGGCTCAGGACTTGATTTTTTTCATGAAAATGTGTCTGCTTTTTAACCTGTTTGCCTTGCTGGGAAAAAAAAAAACTGGACTTGAGCAAAGCAAACAAAATACTGCTTTTTTATTGTGGGACAGGGTCTCAGGTTACCCAGGCTGGCCTGGGACTTGCCACCTTCCTGCCTCTGCCTCCTGAGTCCCTGAGGTCCCAGTTGTGGGGAGGTGCTGCTGCTTCTCTGTCTCTGGAGCATCAGTTCAGGCAGCACATGGTCCTCAGTTCTCCACTTGCCTGCCTCTTGTGTCTCAGAGCAGTGCAGTGCTGGGAAGACAGGGCCAGAGGGCTGGAAGCCTGTACACCCTGCGGGGTCTCTGGAAGAGTTGGGGTGCCACTGTGTTCCTTGCAGCGTGAGGCACTCTGACGTTTCCTGGCTCTGTGGCGTGTGTGATGGTCCCAGGTGTGGTAACACAGAGACCGCGTGCCTGGAGGGAGCCCCGTGGAGCTCACCGACTCGGCTGCTGTTGCTCAGAACCTCTGGGACTCAGCGGGGGTCCTCTCGAAGCCTTGTAAGGGGTCTCACCTTGCAGCAGCTCCTGTGGGCCATCTCCCTCCACCTGGCCTGGCCTGCCAGCAGGAGCTCTAGCCTCCCTTCCAGGCCTGGTAGGGAGTCAGGCTGCTGGGGCAGGACCCAGCTCTGGCCTGGTGCCTAGCATCTGGGCTTCCCCGGGTGCATCCTTCCTGGGCCACTGTCCTCAGGCTGCATGTCTCTCTTCCAGGTGCACCTATGCTGTGGGGAACCATGACTTCATAGAGGCATATAAATGCCAGACGGTGATAGTCCAATATCTTTTGTCTGTGTGTAGCTGTGCAGCTTGGAACAGGTGCAGTGACTGCTGGGCTCTAGGTCTTGAAATGCTGGGCCAGTTCTCACCCCTGTAATTAGACAGAATAGAARCATTTTGCAGAGAAAACTCATTTTAGCTCTTCCACTTGGCACCTGAGTTAAGACTCATCCAGTTATCTCTAGAAAATAGAAGAGCCCTAGTGAGAGGAGCGGTTTTATTTAATTATGTTGAGAAGTATCACATTTGTAAGTAAGCGGTAAGTGTAGTTACAGGGACTGGTTGAGTCCCCTGGGTGAAATACCAGAGGTCCAAGATTCAAGCTAGAGGGATGAGCATGGATTGGATGCACACCCCCATTACTATGTGTGGTCCCAAAGGTGGTGGTCTTGCTCAGCTCATTTGAGTGCTGTCCTATACTGATGGTGTTCTGGGTTCTGGCGTATAACCTAGATTTAGTTGCCTTTTAGAAAACCGTCTTGTTTAGGTATAGCTAGAAGATAGTGGGCTACTAGCCAAGTCTCCCTGGAAATGGTAAATAAATTATATCGTAGATTCTGAAGCACTTAAATTTAACTTGTAACCACCTGGGCTCAGAAACCAAACACATTTCCTTCCTTCCTTCCTTCCTTCCTTCCTTCCTTCCTTCCTTCTTTTTTGGTGGTGGGGGGTACTAAGGATTGAACCCAGAGGCTCTACCACTGAGCCTCATCCCAGCCCTTTTTATTTTTTATTTTGAGTCAGGGTCTCACTAAGTTGATTAAGGCCTCTCTAAGTTGCTGAGGCTGGCTTTACACAAACCTCCTATCTCAGTCTCCTGGCTGCTGAGATTACAAATCTCAAATAATTTCTTTTTTTTTTTTTTTAAATCTGATAAAAGTCTTTCTTATTTTGGAGCAAGTATGTATGAAATAAACATTTAGTATGCTTAGGCCTAATGATACACAGGTATTTGTAATGTGCACTCATATCTTTTTTTCTTTTAAAGGGTGGGATATAACTTAGGATTTGGAATCCTATTTTTTGTTGTTGTTGCTGTTTTCAATATGTAGTGTCATTACAGTTTGCACGTCAGACCTTCCTTAACTTAGTACATCATTTCTGCGGGCATTTCAGGCCCACAAGGAAGAAAACTGGTGAGTATGGACAGAAACAGTTGGAAATTAGTAAAGGGCATTTGGTGTTTGTGCTTTTGTTTTTATTTTTGTTTTTTGCAAAGTTTTTAAGAATTTGCTTAAAAGTACTAGTGTGTTTTTCTGTAGAATTAATGGTAGTTGACATGATAGTATCAACATGGGTAATAGAATTATAACAATGTGTGCAAACTAAAGTGGCATTATCTTGCAATATACCTTATTTCAGCCCTTCCTTGTCCCCAAAATTCCTTAAATACTAATTTTTTCCTTAAGTTGTTCATTTTGAGCTTACTTTTAGTTTTAACTTAAAAAAGATAGACCAACTAACTATGTAGTTCATTGGGGCAATATACACAATAATTGGGTTAAATTCCTTGACAAACTGATTTCTAACTTCAAGATCTAGTTAAGATTCGTTAGGAATCTGTGGGTGGCACACATTCTTCTGTACTAGACTGGCTGAAGGCCTTTACAGCAAGCAAGCCTTCCTCTCTAAATGAGGGCCTTGCTTTCACATGGAAGGAAGTGGGTACTGTCCAAGATGGGCGCAGAGCTGTTGATGACGATGTGTATGTCACACCATCAGTGTCCTTTTAGGAAATCTTACTGAGCTGCCTTTTTTTAAACAGTGCTGTTTGCCAGTGCAGGGAGTGGAGGGGATGGGCGGTGTCCTGAGATTCCCTGCGGGGCAGTGTCCAGGCCCTGATTAGGGCTGGCCAGTGGTTTGGAGCTAGCAGTGGGCCTTTGGCCTCTAGGTTGGCCACAAACAAGGCTGCAGCTGCCTGGGTGGYAGGTGAGGAAGCAGACAGTGGCATCAAGTTTTGGGGGCAGAKGGCAGCCTGGCACCAGTGTCCCCCACCTCTGAGGAAAGCCTGGACTTGTGGCCTCTTCAGACACGTCTGCTGTTTCCTCCGTAGGGCTCTACCAGTCATGTATGCGGTAGCCCTGGACCTCCGTGTGTTCGCCAACAACGTGAGTGAGTTCCCTGTCCCTGCTGTTTTAGAACTGAAGCCCTGTGATTGCTACTGCATTTCATGTTCGTCTCCCCACGGTATTGAGGAATGAGTGGGAGTGGGATGCATTGGGGTGGGGAGCAAGAGGGGTGGCAGCTGGTTAGGGTTAGGGTTAGCGTTAGGGTTGCTTCTCGGGGTTGTGCCGACTGGCTTTGGTCATTTGCTGGATGTTCCCTGTTAGTGTGGAGGGAAGTACTGTCTGTGGGGCTGCCCAAGTGGGTTGTCAAGTGGGTTGCTTTTCCTTAGGGTGGAGCAGTAGCAATGAGCAGTTGTACATCCTTTTACTTGTAAGATAGGGCCTGTCTTAAGGCACTCCAGCTGACTGTAGATTAAACAGCTCCCGGCTCTTGTGGCACGCAAGGAGAAGGCCCTGGATTTCATGGGGTGACGTCCTCTCAAGGAGCRGCACAGCTGGCTGTGAGCCAGAGCTGCCCATTCTTTGTCTTGTGGACKGCTTCCAGCTGCAGACCCGACGATTCGCTCAGACTCTGCCCTTTCCTCCTAGGAATTTTCAGCCCATGTGGCTCTGAGCGGCAGAGGTGAAGGGGCTGGGACTGACGGTGGGGAGCATCCTTTCACCTTCCGTCTGTCCAGGACAGTTCCAGGGAAGCCCAAACYTGGAAGTGCCCACAGAGACAAAAAAGCCCCACAAAAGTTAGGACAGGGCAGATAGCCTGGCACCATGTGCTGTGCGCCACACACAGGTTTACATGTCTCTCCTGCCCCCTCAGCAGGGCAGTGGGGTCAGCTAAGGCCTGTAGAAACGGGTAGATAAGGCCTGAAGTCTGGCATAATACCCCAAGGTCTGGGGTATGACTGAACATCGCTAATCACATCAAGGATCTGGGACATGTCAGCTTCTCAGGATGTTGGATGAGAAAGGTCATTTGCCGGTCCCCAGCACTGAGATGACAACAACATTTGGAATCATCTGATGAAGTCTGTTTCACTGTTCTTGGTGCWAGGGATGGCAGGCAGGGCCCTGGCTGWGCCAGGCAAGTGCTCCACCACAGCCCACCCTTGGCGATTTTAGAACAAGGTATGAAATGCCTCTGGGGGCAGTTATGAACACCGGAAACAAGTGAGGGGGCCAGTCTCAGCAAGGGAGCCGAAGATGGAAGACCCAAGTGGATGTCATAGGCTGAGAGACTCCAGGGAGCTTTTGCTGTTTAGAGATTTTTAACTGGGAAAATTTAAAATAGTAGCAAGACTTTTTAATGTTAACATAACTGACTTTTAAAATAAAACTGCACTCTGTTTTCCAGACAAGTGGAACAAACATACTGAGCAGAGTGGCACCTTGCGCATCTTAAGCCCATACCACCTGGCTCCAACAGGAGCCACCTGGAATCCTTGTCTCACACCCACTCCCTGCCGGGCAAAGGCATTTGCAGAGCATCCATGGGGAAGGGAGGCCTGACAGAAAAGGGAGGCATACATTAGGACAGTGTGTCAAAACTCTGAGACCAGCTTTGTGAAGCTTGCTACAGTGTGGCCCGAATTGTTTCCACTGGAGCATTAAAACCACTGGCCTGGCCTGTGCTTGAACAGATCTCATCCTCCTGCATGATTTTCATCTTCAKTGTGTCTTAGTTCATGCAGGCTGCTATAACAAATCATGTGGCTGGGTGGCTTATAAACATCAGACGTTTATTTCTCACCGTCCTGGAGATGGGAAGTCCTAGGTCAAGGGGCCAGCAGATGGGGTACCTGTGAAGAGCCATGGTCTGGTTCATAGCCAGGTCTTCTTGCTATGTCCTTGTGTGGTGGATGGGTCAAGGGAGCTCTTGGGGTCTTTTACAAGGACACTGACCTACCACGAAGGCCTGCTCTCAAGCCCTTTTGGATGTGGTTATACAGCAGATCCAAATGTTGACACTTGGTTAGGTAAAACAAACAAGAACAACTGAAACAAAATAGCCCTGTTTGTGCATCAGCGAAGTCTTGGGGAGTAGGAAACTGCCTCGCTCAGTGGTTGAAAACTCTTCCTGCAGTTCTGGCTTTTCCCTAGAAGCACGGCTGTTGTTGCTGGCTGCTGACACCGTCACTTGTTTGCCTGCAAGTGGCAGGCTTGTTGGTTCTCTTTTGAGAGCGTGGTGTGCAGGGCCCACTCCTGACCCAGCCTGCAGATCTGGCCACTTCCCAGTACTGCTCCTGGGGACAGCCATCAAGGCAGGGCGRCAGGGCGCTTGCTGCAATTCCCAGACAGCACAGGGAGTGGTGAAAATGTGAAGTTGGTAGCATTCTGCAGGGGAATGGGCTTGGCTGGCCGGGTTGCAGGCACATGCTGGTGTGGAGGGTGCGATGCTGGTGAGCTGCGGGACGGCTCAGCCTGTCCTGCCACCCTGCTGCACCATCCACACAGACGTCAGGACAAGAGGAAGGGACTGTGGCCTGGTGTCTTCCTGAGGATGGCTCTCAGCTCATAGACCCTCCACAAGAGGAGGAGGAGATTGCTCTGGAGACTGGGGAGCGAGGCCCTTGGTGACAGCTGACATCCCCTTCCTCTCCCGCTGGTGCGTGTGGGCCAGAGGTCGGCAGGGTGCCAGCCATGGTACGGCCATGACCAGCTTGTAGCGCAGATCAGGAATCTGGGCAGGGGCAGTTGTGATGCGAAGACCCCTCAGGTTTCAAAACTACAGACGTGTCCACCAGGCCTCGTCTCCCTTTGGGATTGTAGCTCTTAATTGTACGCGTTTTTGTGTTCCATTAGGCAGATCAGCAGTTGGTGAAGAAAGGAAAGAGCAAAGTTGGGGATATGTTGGAAAAAGCTGCTGAGCTACTGATGAGCTGCTTTCGGGTCTGTGCCAGTGACACGTGAGTCGGGGTCTTGGGTGGTGAGTCGGGGTCCTGGGTCGCCACGGGCCCTCCCTATTCCTCCCTGTCGAGGCTTGCTGTCGGCTTTGCACCTGCCTTAGGCCCCCACACCCACGTGACTTTGGCTTTGAGAAGCGTTTGTTTTGTAAAGSAAAGAAAGGCCCTTCCCACGAGGCCTGCTGCTGGCTCTGGGGCTTATCTGCAGGCCGTCCCTCTCTGCAGGCGGGCGCTCCTCTGCGCTGGCTCCCAGGCAGGCCTCCCTCTGGCAGGAGCTTCCCTGAGCTTTCCTTTGTATGGTCTGCCTTCCGTCGGCTGAGCACCCACCCTCCCTGCCCTTGTTAGAGGCGGCACCCACCCTCTGCCTTGCAGGGAAGGGTCTTTCTCCCTGGCAGGTTTTCAGTGAGGTGACTCTGCTCTACCTCTTGGGTTCAGTTTCTCCTGTTTAGGGCCCATGTGTTTCCTGGGATTAGTAAGTTTATGTTTTTTATTAGGTTTTTAAGTTTTTGCATTCTTTTATTTTTCAACTTTTAAAAAAAATATTGTCCCTTCATTCTGGGCGATTTGTGTTGACCTGCCTGCAGGGTGGCTGCTCTTAGTTGCCATTACCTACCTTTTTAATTCTAGACCTTCTATCTGATTCTATTTTAGAGTTTCCATTTTTCTCCTAAAATTCCATCTCTTTATCCATCTTGCCACGTTTATTGGATTGTGAGTTTTAGGGAATCACGTCTGTGTCTCTGTCATCTCTGTCTTAGGTATACATGTATATTTTTTCTGTTTTTACTGAGGCAGGGTCTCACTCAGTTGCCCAGCTTGGAAATTGTTATGTAAACAAAGAAAATGGTTCCCAGAAGGTCTTCCAGCTTTCCGTTTCCCTCTCCTCACCCTCCCAGCCCAGCCTCCAGCCCATTCCAGGGCAGCCGGGTGACAGGGGGCCCTTCCTGTCTCCAGGTCTCTCCCCTTGCGGCTCTGCCTGAGCCACTCCTCACCGCAGCACCCCCCTTCCTGCCCCACGTGCTGCAGTCCTGGCTGGCTGCAGGACTCTCACCCAGGGCCCCTGGCAAGGCCTGCTCACAAACCCTCATGGCACCCTGCTCTTCGTTCCCTGTACCTGAAGGCAGCTCTGGGCTGATGGTGAATTGGGGTGTATTGCTTCACCTCACACCAGGGTGCCCCTTGCACATGGAGCTCGATGAGCACTTGGTGGTGATCCTCAAGGCTGGGTGCCTTTGACGAGGCAGTGGCTTCTCAGGTGGGACGCCCAGAGCTTAGCAGCTGAAGGGGCCTCAYGTGGTGGGCCTGGCGTGGATCAGAACTTGTGCTGTAGAGGACACTGTCCCAACAGTGAAAAGCCACCTTAACGTGGGGGGAATCTGCAGATATCTATTGAGGGTCTAGTGTCTGGCACACACAAAGAACTGCTGCAGTGAACAGTAAAAAGAAACGGGTTTAAAGGATAAAATATTAGAAAAATCTTCCAAAGGAGATCTGCAAATGGCTGGCGAACTCATGCAGGTTGCTAGGCCAGGCCACAGCGAGCTGCCACTCCATCCTCGGGGTGCTCTGGTCAGAGGTGRCAAGTACAGGTTAGGAGAGGCTGTGTCCCTGGTGGGCGAGGGCTCTGGGAACCTCAGCTTTCTCAGAGGGCCATTGGCACCTCAGAGTCACCAAGTGGCCCTGCAGTTCCTCCTGGCTGCATCCAGAAGAGGGCAGCGGCCAGAGGCGGTTGACCTGGTGCCGTCGCAGGACACTCTGCTCGCTGCCTGGCCGTGGTTTTGAAGTGATGGTGTTGCCCTTCTCTCCTGTCACACTTGGAGGGAAACCCAAAGAGCAAAGACCTCTTTTGCAGGCCACAGCCCTGTCATGGTCAGAGCCCAGGGAGAGCTGTCGTAGCAGCCCGCCAGGTGCCATCCCACAGGCCAATGGTGCTGGTTCGCTCAGCGTTGCTGGTGGGCACATAGGTCCTGGAGCAGCCTGTTCCCCTGCCCACGAGCAGCGTGTCTTCTGCCCACGCCTCGCTCTTGGGTTGGCATTTCCGGCAGCCCGCCCCCGGGCCTCGCTCTGGCACCCCCTGGACAAGCTGTGTGGCAGGGGAAGCGCTGCAGAGAGATGGTGCACGGCTGAATGTTAAAACACCCCACGACACTGGAAGGACCCTCAGGGACGCCACCCTTCTGTGAACTCTCTGCTCTTGTCTCACACACCCTCTTTTGATCTGTCTCCATCGTCTTTGTTTCACAGTCTCTTGGCACATGGTGCACTTGCCTCCGGGGCTGGGGTTTCTCCTTGTCCCTTGAGGTGGATGTGCAGGGCAGGTCTGCATGGAGCCCGCGCAGTCCTCTGCGCCCCCCCCCCCAGGCCAGGCTGCTGTGCCCCCAGTGCTGCCTCCACCATGCTCGGGGACCCAGGGAGCCTTTGTGCCAGCTGAGACACCTCAGGAGGCCCCTGTGCCTTCAGGAGTTCATTCTGTCCTAGTGACAAGAGAAGATGCTTCTCACCTTCAGAAAAGCTCCCGGCAGGAGCTCTGACGTGGTGCTGCAGGCCTGCCTTTTTAGCGTCACCTGTTAGATGTCTGGTGAACGTGACCGCTGTCAGCCATCAGGCAGCTTGTTCTGTGACTTGTGTCTGTTTCCTCTGTGATGTTAAGAACTTCATCTTCCCACAGTCGTGCTGGCATAGAGGACTCTAAGAAGTGGGGGATGCTGTTCCTGGTGAATCAGTTGTTTAAGATCTACTTTAAGGTATGCTTCTGCTGGAGTCTCTGTGAATCCCTTCCGTCTCCCCGTTATGCCGCCGTGGTCAGCCAGCCCACCTATCACGCATGGGAGGGGCGGGGCCACATCCGTGGTCCTCAGGGCCGGCCCTGCCGCGTGCTTCTCCAGTGTCTGACTTAAGACAGCCCTGGGAGGCCTGTACTCCCAGCCAGAGGCCCTCCTGGCAGCGCTGGGCCCTCTGGGGCRGTGGCAGCTCTGAGATGGGCGTGGGTGTGAGTGGGCTGGAGGCTAACGCATTCTTACTGCCCAGAGCCAGCCAGTGAGGGCCCTCGGAATGCCCGTGGCTGGGCCTTGTTCCCCCACTCCAGGGGCCATAGGTCTGACCTGGAAGCTCCTGCCAGTGTGGCCGTCCTCCCTTGGCAGCTGCTGCCGCTGCAGCTCCCTGCGGCCATGGCCTCAGGGCTTCCAGGAGGCGGTTGGTTCTCCCACCTGCCTGCTGTGGCTGGTGTTCTGAACAGACATTTGTGACAGACTGTTATTTGTTATAGATCAACAAACTCCATTTGTGTAAACCCCTGATTAGAGCCATCGACAGCTCCAACCTGAGAGACGATTACAGCACTGCCCAGAGGGTGACGTAYAAGTACTACGTTGGACGCAAGGCCATGTTCGACAGTGACTTTAAGCAAGGTGAGCTCTGCTCTCCCTGGCGGGCACTGGCACAGCCTGGCTGCCGGGGCTTGCTTCAGAGAAGCTCCTAGTCTCTCCGTCCTTGGGGACGTCCTTTCTGAGGCAGCTGAGTGTGACTTTCTCCAGTTTTCTCTCTTTGCCTTTGACTCTGGTGCGTGCAGGTTGTGCCCTGCAGGCAGAGGCCACCGGGGCGGCACTCCGCCTGGCTGCAGCCCAGCCCAGAGAGCATCGGGGGCCCTGGGCACAGGCCAGATCTCACAGAGGCTGAGTGTGACGGCACTCGCACCCCAGTGCCTTCTTGGACAGAAGCACCGTCGTCCCCTTCAGGCCCCTGGCCGTGTCTTCTGCCCACCCTGTCTTCTGGGTGCCCAAGGCACACTTTGGAACTGTCAACACTTCCTCTCACACCCGAGAGTCCAGGGCACAGCATCCTGCAGGCCACAGGCAGCAGCAGCACTCTCAGACCCTGGTCTGTGGAGTCCGTCCTGGGCTTCTGTGGACGAGCTTTTCAGTTTTCCACTTTTCAGAGGACGGCGCGCCTCTGAGAAGGGCTTCCTGGGGTCTTCCCTTGTCTGTTTCCCTTAAGATAGGAGCGTCAGGGGGGCACTTTCAGTCACGTTGCCTTGGGTTCTACCAGGGCAGCCACGCGGCCTTGCTCTGAGGTTCCCTGAGCAGCAGTGTTGGACACTCGGGAGCCAGCAGTGATTGCTGACAGCAAGGCCAGGTGGCCCTTGTGTCTAGGACCCTGACAGATGAAGCGTTCCTCCAGCTGCTCCCCCAACTCCTTCGTCTTCTGTAAAGACCCAGACGTCCCAGAGACTGGGTTTTGGATGCAGAGCTGCTCTGTGTGCCTCAGAAGCCCGTGCTAGCCTGTCTTCTGCCTGGTGGCTCTCGAGGTCTTGGCTCCCCTGGCACTGCTGGGAATTCCTGCTGCTCTTGGTGCGTTGAACTGGATGAAGCGTCTGAAGCGTGAGACCATTCTCACAGCTTCTTGTGACCACATTGCTTATGGAAAGAGGAGTATTCAGAGTGCCTTGGTTGTTGGCCACACGTTTCTTCAATTATAATTTCAGGTGCTCACACCTCTTGAGGTGTCTTTGGCTCTAAGTAAAATAGAGGTTTCGTGCAAAACATCTGAAGTGCCCTGGATGACAGCAGAAAATCACAGTGGGTTGTTAGAAATGCGTTACTGTGCCCTGGGGATTTGGACTTGGTTGTCTTGGGCATTGGTAGAGTAGCACATCTCTGGGGCAGTTGCCATTGTCTGGTGTCAGGCTGTGGGATGTGCAGGCTTCATAACCCTGTAGGCTCCYTGTGGGCTCAGCTCCTGGCCATGGCAGTCTTGCTCCCTGTGTAGAGTGGAAGTTGATTTTGCCAGGCATGGCGTGTTGCTCACGAGTGGAGGCAGAGGTGCTCAGTGCAGACCTCCTGGGCCAGGGTCTGCCGCCCAGCGAGGGAGTCTGTGTCAGATGGGTCCTCCTGGTTCTGAGGGTCTCTGGGCCATTGGGTGGGGACTTGGTGCTGTCCAGGAAAGACTGCTGTGGCAGGCCGTGTGCTTCTGTCTGAACCCCTGGCTCCCCAGTTCCTGAGCCACATTCAGATCACAGGCCCCCCAGGTCCTKTCCTGCCACCTTAGCTGCAGGCTGGGGAGGAGTCTGTGCTCCTCCAGCTCGTCCAGCTTTCTGACGAGTCCCCACTTAGGACCCAGTGCTGTGCAGTCAGCAGGTGAAGCCCAGTGGAAGAGGCTTCTTGGTATTCCAACGTCTAGCCGTTCAGCTCTGACTTCCATGAAACACAGGACCAGCACCTCGCCAGCTCACGGCACAGTGCTCACACACCGTGGTCTTCAGGAAGGCGCACGCATGGGCTCTGAGCTGCATGCGAGCTTCAGGGGTGGTGCCGAGCATCTGTTGGGCCGTGGGTGGCTCGTCTGCCTCGGACCTCTGTCTTCCCATGTCGGGCTTTCCGGGTGGAAGGGCTGACCGTGTGGCTCCCACCAGTCCCTTCCTGCACTACCCTCCATGCCACAGGCCTGCCCAGCCTTCCTGGGGCTCTGGAGTCACGGGACATGCTTAAGAAGAACTGCTGGGGAAGGAGTGTAGCCAGGCTACGCTGGGCCACGGGCTTCGCGGCACTGAAATGAGAACTCTCGCCTTGCTTCCAGCATCGCAGGGTGTGGGAGCTGGAGGGGCTGGGCCACGGCAGCCTGGCCTGCCGGACTGACCTGGCCTGCTCTCCACAGCTGAGGAGTACCTGTCGTTCGCCTTTGAACACTGCCATCGCTCCAGCCAGAAGAACAAGAGGATGATCCTGATCTACCTGCTCCCCGTGAAGATGCTGTTGGTGAGCTGCTGTTCCTCTACAGCCCTGTGGGCTTGCAAGGGTGCCAGGTGGGCCGAGCCAGCACTTCCAGGCCCTTCCAGCAGAGCTTTCCTGCGTTTATCTCCCGGCAGTGACAAGCCCCAGCGTTCACACTAGACATGAAACAAGTGTGTGCTGTTTTCATTTCTCCCSGAGGGCCTCGGTGCACAGCAGAGGGCTAACCAAGAAAGCAGAGTGTGATTGCAGTCTGCCTGGGGGGTCTCAACAGAAGAGCCTGAGGAGTGGGTGGCACTGCCCACAGTGGGGAGCCTCCTTCCACATCTGCATGAAAGTGGCGCCTGCTGGTGGCCAAAGCGCATTGCCCAGGGCGGTTTGTGGTTTGTGGTGACAGCAGCCGTGCTGCCGCGCCCTCCCCATTCCCGCCCTCCTGTGGAGAGCAGTCCAGTGCGTCTCCTGGTGGCCGTTTATCCTAAGTGATAAGACACATAGAAGGTTGCCATCATGCGGTTCCCAGGTCTCCTGGTTTTTACTTTCCTTCCTATGCCCTGATGTGTTTGATCAGCTGCTTCAGGAATTCTAAGGAACGGGGCTTGATTGTCTTAGATAAGCTGTCCCTGAGGACAGGCTGCTGGAGTGGCAGCGCCTGTGGGGAGCTAACTCTCTGTCCTAGGGCCACATGCCGACGGTGGAGCTCTTGAGGAAGTACCACCTCATGCAGTTTGCCGACGTGACCCGAGCTGTGAGGTAGGTCCCCCTCTTCCTGCGGGAGCCAGTGGGCAGAGGTCGCGCACTGCCCGTGCAGGTGGCGTTGACGCACTCTCTCCCGGCCTGCCCCACCAGCGAGGGCAACCTGCTCCTGCTCAACGAGGCGCTGGCGAGGCACGAGACCTTCTTCATCCGCTGTGGSATCTTCCTCATCCTCGAGAAGCTCAAGATCATCACCTACCGGAACCTCTTCAAGAAAGTGTGAGSGGGGTGCACACCCGGGGCAGGTGGTAGGGCGGGACACACCTGCGGCTCACTGCCACACCAGCTCAGGCCCTGGCTCGGGAGTGGAGGCAGAGCCTTGCCCTGTGGGCAGCACAGCGCCCACTGCTCCTGTCTCGGAGGGCGGGCAGCCAGCCTCGTGGTGACTGGTGTGTCACAGGGGAGATACCAGGGCTGCTCTTCTGGGGCCTGTAGCCATAGGCTCTCGAGGTTAGACTTCARACAAGGCAGACCTTCCTCCAGCTGTGGGTAGGCTGTCAAAAATGGCATCACCTGAGCCTGCAGGACCCTGGGCAGGCACATCCTGGTGTCAGAGCCACTGACAATAAGAACCTCAGCCTCAGCGAGAGAGTCACCAAGTGTATAAATGTTCTGTTTGTACTAGCAGGTTTTATTTATTTTTTTTCTGCAAGGAGTACCAGGGATTGAATTCAAGGGCACTTGATCCCTGAGCCACTTCCTCAGCCCTATCTTGTATTTTACTTAGAGACAGGGTCTCACTGAGTTGCCTAGTGCCTCACTTTTGCTGAGGCTGGTTTTGAACTTGAGATCCTCCTGCCTCAGCCTCCCAAGCCACTGGGATTACAGGCTTCAAATAGGAAAGTCAGAATATATGTAGTTAGTAAGTGGAAACATGCTTTATTCCTTCTGAACCCTGGTTCATTGCAAAATGCCTCYCTGTCTGACTCCCAGGCCTCCTCCTGGCCTTTGAAGTAGCCCCGCTGTCGGGAGCTGCAGTGTCCTGTCTTCCCTCTTGCAGGTATCTGCTGCTCAGAACACACCAGCTGTCTCTGGAGGCCTTCCTGGTCGCCCTRAAGTTCATGCACGTGGAGGACGTGGACATCGATGAGGTGCAGTGCATCCTGGCCAACCTGATATACATGGTGCGTGGGCCTCGCTCTGGGAGGCAGCTGCTCCCAGTAGGTGATCTGGAATTCAGAGCCTTCATGTGGTGGTGGTGAATTTAGTGAGCAGCCTTTTGCCTTTGCAAAGGTATTTTGTCGTAGAAATACCACCCACAGGGCCCTTGGGCATGAGGGTGGATGGTGCTTGCCCCCATCAGCTGAGCTGCGCCAGGACTGCTGCAGACTGCTCATGCCCGGCATCTTGGCTGTGATTTGGGTTCGGAAGTGCAAACCAGGTCCTCTTTTCTCTCCTCCAGGGTCACATTAAAGGCTACATATCCCATCAGCATCAGAAGCTAGTTGTCARCAAGCAAAACCCATTCCCTCCGCTGTCGACCGTGTGCTGAGGCTTGCAGGACCTCTGGGCAGAGAGTGGCTCTCATCTGCTGCTGTCTTGGGCTGCAGTCAGCTCTGGGCTGCACCGTTCTCTGCAGCTGGAACCTTCTGGGTGCCTTCCCAGGGTGCTAAGACCAGTTTGCCCACACCCTGAGCATCCTGAGCCCCTTGGCGCTCTGTGGCAGTGTTGGGGCTCCTGAGGGAGGCCTGGGGCCCGCAGCTCGCTCTGCTTCCCCAGTGTTGTCACAGAGGCCATCTTTGTGACTTTTTGTAGCTCTTTCTATAAAAAGGATATTTTGAGTTGTTATCTTCTAAGATATGTCTATTTTTATTAAATCTGAATCTTCATGTGATTGAAGTGCTGGGCTAACTTAGGGTGTCTTTTTAGAAGCAGGGTTTAGTTTGACTGTTTTCCAGCTCTCACAGCTTGTGCAGGGGCCTGCTCAGCTGCCACAGGCTGATCTGCCCCCYGGGATAGGAGCTGTTTCCTGTGTTCTAGTAGCAGGAGGCCTGAGAGGGGGGTATGAGCCTGCAGATTCCTGCTCCACAGAGCTGCTCTCCCTGCCATTGAGCTGTGGCCGGGTGTGGCCTCTTGCTGGTGAGCCCTGGGCTGACCCATGGCTTTCTCCCCCACTCTGCATGTTCCCAGGCCTGCTCTCCTGCAGAGCTGCCTGTGGAAATCTAGTCCTCCCACTGGGAGCAGGGGCCATGGGCACCCTGCAACTTCTGATCATGATGATGATCTTGTGGCAACCTGTCGGAACATCTGTGAACAGCCCTGGATTTCATTCTGCTCAGCAGCAGGAGAAGGCTAAGGCTTGTCAGCGTCTCCAGGTGGCTCACTGAGCAGCAGTGACACCCCCAGCCAGGGACTGACGGTGGGAGGTGGACACGGCTGCACTGAGCAGTGGAGGGACCGCAGTAGGCAGCAGCGTGTGTGGACCGCTGGTGTCCAGGCCTGTGTGCAGGGACAACACCAAGGAGTTGGGCTTGATCCTTGCTAAGAGTGCCCTGGTTTGGCCCTTTTTCTTTAATTTTTTAATACCACAGCCCTTTCATATTTTATATTGAGATCTGGTCTGCATGGCTGGGGCTGGTCTGGAACTTGCCATGCTCGTGCCTCAGCCTCCCGAGTTGYTGGGATTTCGGGGATGCACCACTGTGCCTCACTAGTTTGGCCCTTTTAAAGCTTATCCTAGCCAAGTTTCTGTGGCTCCTCTTGGAGACAAGGACGTGGGGTGGCGTGGTGATCAGAGCCACTGGCTGTTGCAGCAGAGCACTCCCGGGGCCGGCAGGCTCCTCCACCCCGTGCCTCCCAGCACCGCCGTCTCCTGTCCGGGTGCTCTTGGGCCTCCCTGGGCTGCCTCTCTGCAGTGCTCCTCTGGGGAGGGCCACCTCCCTCACTGGCTTCCAGTTGCTCCTCCACCCAGAGCAACTGTGTGACGGGTGCTGGCTGAAGCAGGCAGAATGGGGGGTGTTCTGCTGAGCCAGCTGCTCTCAGGCTTCTGTTTTGCTTTAGCTTTTTTGCGACTGTGACGAAAAGACCCAACCAGCACAGTTCCAGAGGAGGAAGAGTTTATTTGAGGGTTCATGGTTTCAGAGGTCTCAATCCATAGAAGGCCGGCTCCTATTCCTCAGGGCTGGAGGGGAGGCCGATCATCATGGAGGAAGAGTGTGGCCGAGGGAAGCAGCTCACCTGGTSATCAGGGACCGGAGAGAGACTCCGCATACAAAATGTATACCCCATATACACACGCCCGTGCCCCGCTCCTCCAGCCACACCCCACCTGCCTCTAGTCACCACTCAGTCACCCCCTCGGGGGTCAGTTCACAGGTCAGGTTAAGCTGTGGCCCAGTCACTCCTCCTCCAGAMCTTGCCTCCCCTCACCCTGTCCTTGAGCGCAGTCGTGAGAACTGCCTGTGGCACACACCCGGGTTTGAGAAAGGGCTGGGGACAGGGGCCGTGGCCAGGAGCCCCCGGCTGCTGGCCTGCTGCTCAGCAGAGTTCAGGTGGCTTTGTTGCCCCAGCACTCAGGGAGGCAGAGCCAAGACCAGCTTGCTCTGGGCTCTTGAGCTCCACTGAGGGCACCCTGGCAGGCCAGGCCGGCCTCTCTGGCCCCCCACCGCAGGGAAGAAAGGCAGAGCAAGTGAGACCTCACTGGGGACTCTGCCCTGGGCCAGCCACACCAGCTGCTGTCGGTCACTGTCAGGCACCCTTTCCCTCACATTCCTGCTGGCTGGCGATGGTCGCCATCTTGTGCCGCTCTGCATATTTTACACATGCTTTCTGAKTTTTCAAGTATCTCGGGATCATTGAAGCTAAATTTAGCTCCAATTTGCATTAGAAACAAAAATGCCAGCTTCAAGACCTTCACTTTGTTCCTACATGTGGTTGTTACTCTGCAGTGTGATCTTGCACAATTGGTGAAACAACACCAGTTAGGTCTCTCACTGAGGCTTGTGTGCCACCCTGAGCACATGCTTGTTGTCAGCAGAGTTCTCGYGTATTATAACACACCACAGAAGTCTGGCTTTGGGACTTGTTAACTTGACCTTCAAAAAATTAATCTGGACATAAAGAGGTCTTGTGGGTTTGCAGGATTTGGTAGCAGTGAAATCAGGGGGCTGGGGCTGGGGCCAAAGCCAGCCAGCCGGTCGGTGTTTGTCTCCTGCCCACCACTGACACAGATACCAGACCTGTAGCTCAGCAGGTCTAAGCTTCTGTTTGCTGAGGTATTCATGGGGGAGAAACCTCCCAGCCGGCTGGAGGGACAGGCTGGTGATGTGCACCAGCCAGGGGCGTGGGAGTGYGTGGCCTTGCTCAGCCTCTGCAGCACGAGGGACTGCCGCTCTGCTCCGGCCCAGTGAATCAAGACTGTTGAGAACAGCGTCCAGGTCCGCTCCTAGAACACAGGGCTCTGGGTGCTCAAGGTCTCAGCCTTCAGGGTCACCAGGCTCATGAAGCAGAAGCATGAAATGATGAGAATAAGGACCGACCGTGGCCAGGACTGCTGCGGGCATCGCAGACACTCACGGTAAAGCTGCAATCGAGATGCGCCAAAAGTCAAGCAGAAACTGAGAAGATGTGGAAGGCCTACCATATCCTGCTCTCGGGCAACAGCTGGGAGGTGTGCACAAAGGGTCACGCAGGCTGGACACTGCGGGAATGACCAGAGTGAAACTCCCAGAAAGGAGATGCCCCAACACAAGCGGGCATCACCGGCATGGGCCTCCGACACTCACCACACGTGGGCTTAGAGTCTGCAAAACGGYGTGGGTGGGGGGCAGGCAGGAAACAGTAGAAAGGTCAACCGCCAGAGTTCTCCCCAGTTCGATTTAAAGTACAGGTCAAGTACCCCTTGTCCAGGAATCTGAAATGCTCCAAAACCCAGCATGCTCTAGCTCTGCCACGACACTCAAGTTTTGTATTTTGAAACATTTAAAATTTTTGGATTAGAGATGCTCCACCAATAAAGTCTACGTAAAGATTCCAAAATCTGCAGAACTTCAAAATGGAAACACTTTGGTCCCAAATAGAGCAGATGGGTAGCAAATGCGCACAGTCGGCAGAGGCAAGACCTGAGTGTGGGAAGAGGGAGGCAGCCGAGGCCGCAGGATGCAAGAGGGAACAACCGTGAGGAGGAGATCCGGCAGTGGCAGATGCAGGAGGCACCGCCCCCTGTAGGCAGAGGAGGGAACGCAGCCCAGAGCCTGGGGTCCAGGGTAGGAATGGAGACTCTCCAGGCAAAGGGCCCCAGGGCAGAGGCTCAGTCCTGGGCAGAAGGAGAGAATCCAGGAAGGGTCGGGATAAGGCACTGGAGGGGGGCCGCAGCCAGACGCAGGCAGTTCAGGAGGCCGCTGGCTCAGAGATGAGACGCGAGGGGCGAGGCACATCCCGCTGCAGGCTGATGCTTGTGGCCRGCAGCAGTGGCTTCCCTGGCCCTGGGAGAGAAGCCGAGCAGYGCAGGGTCAGAGCCAGTAGGCCAGAAAGGGGGCAGAGTGAAAGCCCGCCACCCAGCAGAAAGCAGGGACGGGGGCAGCAGACGACAGGCCCAGGCCCTCGGCAGTCGCCGCAGAGAGGAGTTGGAGAAAGCCCCCGCAGGGCCACTGCCTTGGAGGTGTCCACGCGCTCAGGGCCACGGATTCTGAGCTGCCTCCAGGACTGSGGCTCCGGCTGCCCCAGGGTTCTCCCTGCTCACCCTGAACCCTGGGCCACCGAAGCAGCTCCTGTCGGAGAGTTGGACAACCACTCCACCAGCCTGCGCCAGCTGAGGCTGGCCTGGCGCACTGATGGGCAGACCACAACAAGGATGCTGCAGACGGGTCGGTGAGCTCAGGGAGGGGGTGGAAGGTCACCAGGCTGAGAGCCAGATGCCAGTTCTGTCCCTTCCACCCAGGCTGGCCCCGCACCACAGCTCTGTTCCCTTCTGCTTCCACCCTGCTGCCAGGGCGTTCCCGGTGGACACAGGCCAGGGAAGGGCTGGCCCCCAGGATGGAAGGTGGAAAACACAGGACGCCAAAACTCCTCCCGCGGCCTACCCTGACAGAACGGTAAGACTGTTCTGTGGAGTCACACACACAGAATGAAACTCCGGCCCAAGGCAGGTGCAGGAGGTGCTGGGCACTTTCTGGGCAGGAGAACCAGCTGTGGGTGCTGCCGAGTCAYGGTGGTGCAGTTCGCCAGGAGCAGCCCGCAGGCTCCAGTCAGGCCAGCGAGCAGAGGGTGAGTGCCAAAACGAACTCAGGCAGCAGAGCGCAGAGCGGGCTCCCACCAGGAGCCGCAGCCAGGCCACGAGCCCAGAGGCTCCCCTGCCCAGGCCTGGTCAGGCGGCCGCTCTGCTCAGGGGGCACTCACTGCTGAGGTGACAGCCCCTGTGGTCCAGGTCAACACCTACTTGGTCTTTGAGGACGGYCCAGCTGAGGGTCCAGCCCTGGAGAGCCCTGGGAGGGGGGACACACCTGGCCAGGATCCTGCTGTGGGGCAGGAGTGTGACACCACAAGCAGGGCTGGTTCTGGCCAGKCACGAGGGCCTGCCCACGTCCTGGCCCGCTGTGGGCAGCAGCTCACACCAGCATCTCCTCACTGTGGCCCAACGCAGGAGAAA